TATCTCTATTAGAAAACAGGTAATTAATTTATTATTATCTAGTAATATCTATAGATATCCCTATTTATAAATAACTAGAATAGTTATATTATCTCTCTGAAGTTTATTCTTCAGATTATTATATTATATATCTATATAATCTATATCTTAGAGATAGAGAAGGAATAGTATATCTATTAGAATAATATAAAATTTAATATTACTAATTAGTATCTTAATATTTACAGAACCTATAGTACTTATAGAGGGATTAGATTTAAAATAAATAGTTAATTTAGATAATATTAATTTAATAGATAGTATTAGTTATTATAAAGCTTTAAATTAGGTATAGCTACTAGTTAAAATACTGGATATACTAGTATTAGGAATAATACTATAAAATATTATATTATTATAATAACTATTTATTAGGAAATAATTATTCTTATTAGACTATATAGAATTATTAGATTAGTTATATAGATCTTCTTTTATTAAACTATAACAGATTAATTAATCTATTAAGATTATTATAAGTTTTAAACTATATTCTACTAAAAACTATATATTATAGTTATTTTATTAGTTTATTAAGTCTTAGTAGTATTAAAGAATTATATTATTACTTAGTTCTTTAGATATACTCTTATACTAAATAAGGAATTAATTATATCTATTAGTTAAATTATTAGTAATATATAATAATTCCTTATAATAGTAATAAGCAGCTTTCTATTTATTATTAGTATATTTTATTAACTAATAGCTAACTTTACTATAAATATAATACTTTTTAATATATTAATAAGATTTTAAATAGTTACTATTCAGCTTACTATTATATAAATTCTTATTATTATATTACTATTATTTATTATATCTTTAGTTTTAATTATTCCCTTAGTAGGTTCAGTTAGTTAAATAGCTATTATTATTATTCTCTTATTAGTATTTATTACTTTAATAGTATAATTATTCCTAGTAATATACTTCCTAGATAGATAGATTTAATATACTAATTATAAGATATAGATTATTATAAATAGCTTTAAATATACTTAATAGCTTAAATATACTTATACTATACTCCGGAATATTATAATAGTAGTTAATTAATTAGTTATATAATATCTTATTAGATTAGTAGTTATATAGAAGGATATATTATAATTTAATAAATTAGTTAATAAGCTACTTAAGGAACTTAGTTTTTAATCTTCTGGAATTAGTATTTATTATACTTTATAGAGTAATAGTATACTATTTAGATAAGTATAACTAATATTATTATTTAGTTTTAAACTAATTCTTTATTTATCTAACTAGTTTATTATAATTATACCCTTAATTATATAACTAATTATAATAGTACTCTTATACTTAATCTTTTAATATTATATTAAATATACTAGTATACTTATTATATTAAATATTAATCTTTCTATATTAGTTAATAAAGATTAATAACTTTATATCTAATATATTAAGTATATTACTACTATACTTAGTATTATTAGTATATAGCTTTTAGAGATTAGTTAATTATTTTACTCTAGTAAGCAGAAGTTAGTTTAGTAGTAGTATTATTCTATTTAGTTAGTATAGAGAATATATTATCCTATTAGTAGGAATTAGTAGAAAAAGTATTATTTTATTTATTAGATTTCTATTTAGAGAGTTTAAAGGAGATATCCTAAAGTTAAATAGATTATTATTTACTCTATTTTTATTACTATTTATTATATTATAATTAAATAGTAGTTAGATTAGATTACTATTTATTATATTATTAAATAATTATAGATTACTATTTATTATATTTAGAGTAAACTATTATAAGCTACTTTATTATTAATATTATAGGGATTAGTTTAATATATTATTTAATATAATATTCAGTATATTATTTAATATATAATTCAGAACAGATAGAATAGTTAGTTAAGTTAAATTAATAATATACTAGCTTCTTAATATAGTAGGGTAAAAATTAGGAGGATAATTTATATATTAGATTTATAGTATATATATTTAACTATAACTTATTTAGCTATTTTAATTATTAGCTCAGTTAGTTATATTAATAGCTGCTTATTATTCAGCTATTTTAATAGCTTTTTATTCTTCCTTAATAGCTTTAATCTTAAGATCTTTAATTATTTAGTTATATATAATTTCTATAAGGAAGTTCTTATTATTCTTTATTAACTTATAGAAATAGATATATTTATTATTATTCTCTTTAATCTCTTTAGTAGTCTATAGGTAGAAGGAGTTAATAAATACTTATTAGATATTTACTCTAACTTTCTAACTATTTTAAATAATAAAGATACTATTTACTAAGAGTATTTATTAGAATTTATTAATTAATAGTTTTCTATAGTTAATAAAATAATTATTAGTCTATTCTTTAAATATATTAGATATAATCTTATAAAGTAATTAACTATAGTAATCTTTATTACCCTATATTATAAATATATATAATAAATAGAATATAAATTACTTTAATATAATAGTTATCAGATTAAAGTTATTAATATTCCTCTAGATTAATAGATTAATATATAATTATAAATAGTTAGGGATAGGAAAAACTAATATTATAGGGGAAGAAGATAGGCTAGCTATTTAACTATATATTTAAGATCTATTACTTATTAGTTTATCTAGTAGTAAACCAGGTAATTATATTATTTTATTTATTATCTTTAATAGATAATAAATAGATAGGTAACTAATAATAATAAATAGTTAAATAGATAGTTTAGAATTATTAGTTCTAATAGAAAGCAGAGATCAGAATAGTAATATTAATAATTTATTATATATAAGAGAATAATTTAATTTTATTATTATAAGGAAGGAATTATAGTAGTAATAAGTAGTAAATTATTTAATTATATTATTAGTAGTTCTAAAGTCAGAAGGAACTATTTACAGATAAATAAATAAGTAATAAGATAGAAGAATAAGTAGATAAAGAGATAAGTAGATAAATAAATAAGTAGATAGTTAGATATTATTATAGTATTTTAGATACTACTAATATAGATAAATAGTTACTAATTCTCAGGATTAATAGAAGTATATTCTTCTATAATACTCAGAATTAAATAGATAGATAATTTAATAAATTTATTAGTTCTATAGTAGTATAAATTCCTTTATAAAATATAATAATTAGCTTTCTACTGGATAGAAGTAACTAGTTTATAGGAAGATATCTTATCTATTAATCTGATCTATTATATAGTCTTTCCAGACTGATCAGTATAGGTTAATAGGGATTTAATATAGCTATATAATATAGTAAAGTAAGTAAATTAAAGCAAATAATTAATTAATATCTGAGGGGAAAAGCTAACTATTATATGGTTGAATAGAAGGTTCATACAAGTAGGTTTGCAGGTTATCGATAAGTCGATAACCCGATAAGTCATATCAACACCTTGAGTTGAGGGACTGTCTTACTAACCTGACGGACTGTAAGCGAGCCAAGACCTCAGAGTGATCTGTCTTCCTGGTCTTCAGGACTTCCACCAATGATACAATTATTTCATCCCCCGAGAAAGCCTTCCCGAGGCTGTTTTGCGGAGCAGGTGGGTAGCATTAATTCCAACCCTCCCGGCCGGCCACAGCCACGCCGCAGTGTCAGGGGGACGTCCTCCGAAATGTTTGCTCCGCCACCATGGTCTTGGCACTCTCCCTTCTTCTTTGCTCTGGCCATCGTAAAAAAAAGCTTTCAATATTAACTACACCGCGGTTCATCGTATATCTGCCAAACGCAGTGGGCACAGAAGAAGTTGGCACGGCCCAAATAGTGTCGTCATCCGAAACCAGACGCCAAGATATTCACGTCGTCGACAGGGATCGCACTTTCTCCGCCCGACAAGGTTCGCAGGATTTGCATTTAGCAAAGCCAATCTGTCGGTGGAATGCATGGGTGGGTGGGCGACAAGTATAGTGCGGGAATTAACCGGATTCGATCATCGAGGATAGTCGGGGAACAGTCGTAGAAGGATCAACATCCTGTGAGGGAGAGGCTGCTTGAGCCTCGCATCTGCACTGCCTCCTAGACGCTGTAAGTGTCAGCTTATGATGTCCAAACATGATCCCAAGTGTGATAGGTAGGCACCTTCAATCCCAAGAGCCTGACCAGTCCCTGTTTCCGGAGGTTGGGAATCTTTTTGTAGTTCTTGATAAAGCTGGTAATGCCAAGGTTAACTCTTGCTTGACTAAAATCCGTGAGATAAGACATGGCTGAGGTAATGGCAAGATTATGATTGTACGTGGAAGAGGTACCTGAGTGCTCTCCCCTATGCCCAGTCCCGTTTCAACCGTGGTTGCGACTCACGTGCGTGTCTGCCCGGCGGTATGCCTCAGGCATTGGGCTACCAAAGTACAATTCACGCCAGAACTAGGCCACACGGCTTCCTCTCCTTCTCCCTCATTGATCTAACTTGGCAATTGATTACACATATCACTTGTATAGGCACAAGCTTGCTTGCACTCTCTCATACTTGTTATACCCCAGTTATCACCACACGACAGCGAACCCCTAAAGTCATAGCCTCGAGCGAACATTGCCAGCGAGCAATATCTTGATTTTCTCAACGACATCATAGAGTCCCGATTCTCCTCTCGAACTCTCTACTTAGCAGTATATTCTACCCCAAGGTTGAGTCTCCGGAAGCGGAATCTTCTTGGCAACAGGCCCAGGCTGCTGCATCATCGATTCATAGGGAATATCGCTCGTATTATAAGGTGAGTACTTGGCTGGCTTACAGGTTCTATCGAGTCTTATTTCTCCCTAGATGCTACGTCTAAGCTAAATGACCATAAATACCTAGATCTATCCAGAGACCGCCCTACACATACGATTTCTCTCTTCTCTCGACATCCACGGACGATACACAATACGGCCGCGGTCTCCAAACAGATAATTGAAAAAGAAACCAAAGGCACCGATCCGTACTTCCAACCTAAGATAAAACCCGAGTATGCCGCCGCCGTTAAGCATGTTCAAGGAAATTCACGAACCGACCCCCGCCAAACTCCTCCGAGAAAGCCTCTGCGCGCTTCCGTCGCACTTTACGGACAACCTCATTGCATAATGCCAGAAGCCTTTCCGTCTCTTCTTGGTGGATGTGTTTTACCGCTCCATTGAGCCATATCAAGGCTGCATCGACAAGATGAACATCTTGTTGTATGTTCTCGTGTTGTGGATGGAATAGATTGTTGGTTGTCATAAGCACCATGGATGATGTATAGGAGCACGAGGTCATCCTTCTTGACGTCAGTATGTGTCATTCATCAGTTCAGAAGCCACCTACCAGTTGAACCATGCCTCGCTTGACCACGTCTCCGAAAATAACAGAGCGTATGCTCGGGCTTGGCCCACAAGCTGCTCCCATTTTGGCGGGAGCTGCAAGGTCTCGGTGCCCCTTCCATGGTCACGAAGACCCTTTAGCCACTGCTTGTCCCAGGCGTGAGCCCGATTGATGTGGGTTATGCAAGCCAAGCTAGCTGCGTGCAGGACGCAAAAGAAGCCAGCCATGGCAGGGTTGTTGATCGTACTTGAGGTGACGGCATCGGCGAGGAACTCCGGCGGTATAGACTCTTGCCATTTCTCGAGAGCAGTGGCGATGCTCTCCATTGCAAGAGATCTCTCTTCTGGGCTGCGTTTCAGAGATCGTGTGGAGTAGAGGAAGTCGTACACGCCACCTTCAATATTGGCCAGATGCACGCGCATCAGGAAGTAGTTCATCTTGGCGTTCCCGTTTGCTGTCACGATAACTCCGGCCATGTCGCCCTGTTTGTCGCCCTGCTTGTCACCATCTAGCGGCATATGAGAAGGCAAGTCTAGGTCAACGTCATCATCGAGTTGAAGCGAAGGTTGCCCAGCTCGTAGGCTTAGGTCCTTGTCCAGGATGTATGCTAGCCAGAAGACACGCGCATGCTGTATCCTATCCACTGGGTCCAGATGCGCTGATCCGGCACGGTTGTGTAGGCTAATCTTGTGCGCAAGACGGATTGTGGCTGATATCAGGATCAAAGCTGGAGTAACATCATGCGCCGTCTGAAGCACCATTATCATGCCTACTAGGACTTGGATGTTGAGGAGTCGGATCTGGCCCAAGATGACGGTTGAGACAACTGACTGTGCTTGATTGAGATATTTGTCAATGTAGTAACTCCGAGGCCGGGCACTTCCCCATGGATAACTAGTAGCCTCGGGCATATGCTGGCAAGCCAACGCTAACACAACGTTGATGGCCGCCCACTCTACGGGATCACGCTGTTGGGGTAGAGTTGCATAGCACTCCCCAAACAAGCGCAATAGTGCATCGTCATTGAACAGGGGAAGAACCGAGTTGAAATTTGTGAGAAAGACGCCCAGTAGAGACATAGCTTGCTCCAATGGAGGTAAACCCATGGGGGTCGTACTCTCATAATCATCAGTAGGTTCATACTCAACAGGGGCAACTCCAACCTCCACTGCGGCGGTGTTCTTCTGTCTTGAGTTCAGGGGGGCAGCCTGGTCCTTGGATTGTTGCATTGTATGTTGATCCTGGATTTATGGCGTGTTAGTATTACACCAAATTTGGATACTGGGAAAGATAATCATACAAGCTGCGTCCTCAGATGCTGTACTTCAGATCTCAGCAGTTTGATTTCGTCCACATCAGCAGCATTCCTATTGCGTTGTGACTTGGGTTTCGACCTGCGACTTGGGGCAGTATGCTTGCATTCGACATCATAGGCAATGCAGTTTGAGCAGCGCGGTTTCTGCCCGTCGCACTTGATCTTGCGATTGTAGCAAAGATCGCAGGACTGTTGCATGGTCGCTTAGTAATTGAGGAACTGGGGGCTGCGCGGAGAGGTTTGGCCATTTTCACCTTTCTGGGGAGATTGTTTGCTTCCATGATCGTTCCGAGACCCACCGACTTTCGGCCCAGCAACATCAGTGCCGTGTTTCGGGAGACGATGGGGAATGAGGTTCGATGTGAAGTCGACGGGGGCTGATATTTGATGCCTCCATGGAGGTGATGGCCGCTTAGACCTGAAAGGGGATAGCCCCAGGAGCCTCCGCGGAGGCTTGCTGACAAAAGCTCCTTCTCCATCTTCAATCATCTTGCTTACCTAAGTAATCTTGTACCTCCTGCCCGGTAGCCTCCCACGGTCTACCTCTCGGCCGAGCGCATCCCCGATTTCCAACCAAGTCGCTATCAGGCGATGCACCCCGGAAGCTTCCTGATTTATCATTCTTATCATTCTCACTTCCGATATGATCCAGCGCCTAGATGAAGAGGCTTCACTAGAGTTATGCCGAGCCATACTGCTTATTTTCAACATGACCGAGCCTAATGAATCCTCCGTCCGCGCATTATTAACAACTTCGGATCACGACATCATTTAGATATCCCTCCGAATTCTTCCACGGAAAAGAAGCACCTCCGATTCGAGAATACTATTTCTCACCTCGACTTCTCACAATCATGTTTGTCGCAAAGAAAGATGCTATCAGTCCCGGGTATAAGTAGTCCTCGAGCAGCTGTCTTACTGCCAAAACCTCACCATACAAATCATCCAATATCACAGAAACCTCGAACCAGATCTCCTCCTCCAAGAAACAATGGCTGATTACGTCTCCTTCACCAAAACCTACCACAACAAGCCCTACGCGGCAATTGATCCCACCCAGCCCAAGCTCAGCGTCTCCGGCAAGTTTGTTGCCATCACCGGTGGCGGGACTGGCATCGGCAAGGAAATCGCCATCGCCTTTGCGCAGGCGGGCGCTAAAACCATTGCCATCCTCGGAAGACGAATTGAGAAGCTCGAGGCTGCGGCGACCGAGATTTCTGAAAAGGCCAGCTCCAGTGACACCAAGGTCATCTTCGAGAGCGCCGATATCAGCAAACGCGAGAGCCTCGACGCGGCCGTCGGAAATCTCATCGCAAAGGCCGGCGGCGCCAAGATTGACATTCTTGTCCACAATGCGGGCAGCTCCCCCGAGGTCGGCAGCGTGGAGGGCTTCGACGAGGCCACATTTCGCCACGAGCTGGACATCAATGTGCTGGGCGCTTTCAACACGATTCAGTCCTTTGCGCCCGCCCTGACCGGCCAGGCTCGCCTGTTCAATGTTTCGTCCGGGATGGCGCATATCGCACCCGTCCCGGGGTTCTGGGTCTACTGCACCGTCAAGGCCGCGGTTGTGAAGATATTTGACTTTATCCAGGTCGAGCATCCTGAGTGGCATGTCGTGCAAATCCAGCCTGGTGTCATAGCTACGGATCTCAACACCAGGTTTGATTTTCCCAAGACAGACGATCGTAAGGGCTCCCCATTTCCCAACTAGGCTGACGCCCTCTGTATCTTGCTAACTTGGACTCATCTAGCTAAACTTCCCAGCCAGCTTCTTGTCTGGCTTGCCTCTCCGGAAGCCTCATTCCTCAAAGGCAAGTTTGTCTGGGCTAACTGGGATGTGGACGAGCTCAAAGCTCGTGCCGATGACATCAAGAACTCTTTGCTTCTGAGAGTCTCTCTTAATGGAGCTGTGATGTGATACGGGTGGCCTACGCGTGATCTCATCAGGTATCTGGTTTAGACCAACACTCCATCAAACATGGGCTCGAGCAAACATTCGCCATACATGCTCGCATTTGTTAGATAGTATGTGCCAAACAACAATAGCTAGTAGATAGGGTGTCATTTATCCCCAAATTCCTTTATCAAAACTCTTCATTCAATTATCTCATTTGTGAATATATTCGTATGTTACTACTGGGGTGTACTATGAGAGACGAAAGAATCTGTTACTCGAACAAGACAGACACCAATTCCAAATGATGCTGAGCTATTACCAACTGGCTGGTCCAAACGTCTCACCTTCGGGGACAACCTTCCTAATAGCCGTTCCCATAGCATCCTATGACAGTCAGTTGTCTTTCACTCAAATACATCCATTAAAAAAACAAGTCAAATCAAGGACTTACCAGAGTCTCAAAAACCTTGACATTCCCCCACCACTGCGGCACATCAACCCCCGGCAGGGTCAGCGCAAAGAACACAATCAGCGTGCAGATGATCAGCCCGACGTCGATAGCGGCGGCAGTGATGTAGTTGTACGTCATCCACCACGCGTTCCAGCGGCGCCTGATCCAGAAGTTGAAGAGCAGGCCGACGCCGGCCCAGGTGGAGAAGTTGAGGGGCGTGGCGGGCGGGAGCCAGCCAAGGGATCCGAGGAGGACGGGGGCGTGGAGGTAGCGGAAGATGGACTTGGGCCACCTGCGCGAGATGAAGAAGAGGATGACGGGGAGGGCGGCGCCGAGGAGCCAGAAGTAGTGGATCGACTGGTACATGGTGCCGGCGCCTAGGAATTTTCGGGGCCCGATGACACCCCAGACGATACTTGATGAGAAGAAGGTGCTTCCGTTGGGACAGGTGAAGTTGCTCTCCTGGTCAGCCTCACAGATGTTTGGAATGTTGCCCAAAGCCCAGTTCTAAGTTGTGGAGGAGACGTCAGATTAGTGGATATTCTGAAAGGAGGTGATGGTCCGAATCTTGGGTGAAGGAACTTACCATGACGGCAATCTGAACGAACACAGACCAGATGGCAGCGGAGATTTGGCAGAAGAAGGTGGTGCGGGGAGGCACCTTCATATAGTGAGCAAACTTGAGGTCACCACTAAATACCTGAGCCTGTCCTAGGACAATCGTGCTGTAGACCTTGAAAAGCATGTTGGCGATGGGGCGTCCAGGGAAAATGAATCCACCAATAAACGGCGACAGAACATTGAGCGAGATGAGGATGTTGGTGATGCCCATGATCATCGCCAGTGGGATGATGAACACGAAGGCGATGAGGCACGAGACGATGAATCCCCACCATGGGAGCTGAGTGCTGTAGCCCAAGACCGTCGCGAGACCTAGTGCCATGGCGCAAACCCAGACAATCCCGTACCACCAGTCGGGAGCCTCTTTGTACTTCCTCATCATGGTCATGTGCACGTCTGGCTCTTGATTTCCGGCTGCCCTGAAGCGATACCAGATTTCGGAGCTGTGGTTGAGGGCTGTGTGGACCAGCGCAGCAGTCAGGGTGGCAAACGAGAGACCGTAGTTGAGAAAGAACGTCGGTGCGAGGAACATGGGAGAATAGTTCTTGTAAGCCTCCTCATCAAACTTGAAGTCATGCGTAAGAATCCTAGACACATTATACCTGTGTCCCGTGTTGTCGAAAGTTCGCGAGGTGTTGATGGGCAGGTACTCGGAGAAGAATGTCCCGGAGTACGCCATGCCGAGTGTGGGAATGATGACGAAGATTCCAAGTCCAATAAGACAGTTCAGGTGCGAGTGCCATGGAGAGAGCATAGGGTTCTGCAAATAAGCGGAGATGTAGGTCCAGTCAAAGGTGATGGGAATCAGAGACAACCCTGACACACCTCCAAAGAGCTGATTGACAACAACACTGTTGGGCTTGATCCAGGTGATGAAAGCGAAGACTGAGAGTCCTTGCCAGATGACGGCCGGGAGCCAGTAGTAGCAGAATGACCCAATTGCAAGATAGCAGAACCACCTGTATCGAGAAAGCTTCCAGCCATTGGCATTGACCTTCTCAGACTTGCTGTTGTCATGCAGCGTATAGAGCAGAGAAGTGGTACCGAATTGGCCAGGCCAGACCATTGCAGATGGCCAGACCAAGAATCGTCGGAACATGCCTGACATGGAGATACCAATGATCTGACTGCTCAGGGTGAACATGAGAGCAAATCCCCATCCGAGATTATGGTTGTATAGCGATGGTGCCTGTAATGCCTCGAGAGCATTGGTCGAATAGGGGTAATCCGCCGTAATCTTGGCCATGAGCGTGATGACAGCATGTTCTTTGACGGAAAAGGGTCCGGGGTTGAGCGACCATTCAACACCAAAAGTCTTGAACTTGTGCATGGGCACAATCTTAGACCAGAGAACGCCAATGGGATATGTAATGAGGATCACGACCACAGCGGGGATGGTAATTGCTGGGCTGCGCATGCTCAGAAACATATTGACTCCGGAGACGATTGTCACAAATAGCATCCCCAGAACCCAAGCCCTCACGGTGTTCGCGTATTCTTCATTGTCGATTTCACGGACGGCAGCCCGGACTTCCTCGTATGGCGACTTGGTTGCGAGGTCTTTCTCGACTTCAGCGATAACCTCTACCTCGCCTGTATCGAGTGCAGCAGATATCTCGTCAACCTTTTCCTGGGGCAGGTTGGGATCCCACTGGTGGGACTTCTTGACCTTTTCCACAACCTGGATCTTCTCCGCAGTCTTGGCGGATGGGGAGGGTGGAGGCTCCGTTGAGGAGGAAGCAAGCTGGTGCACGTCCATTGCCGCCGCTATGCTAGACCAGGGGGCCCAAACAATAACAAGAGGCGTGTGGCTGAGGGAAGGCCGAAAACGTCTGATGGTGTGCTGATCGGGAAGCAGCAAGGCGTGTTATTTATACTCGATCATGACTCGAAGTCTCGGGGGATGTCGATTGGCACGTGTTTTGGTTTGCCCAAGCCGTCGGTAGCGGGGCGATAGGCCACCACTCGGACGAGGTGACATCGAGGAGCCAAGGATGAGAAGGGCCACAGATAGAAGCCATCACGCGGGGACAAAAGTTCTAGGTGATAAGATATCAGGCATTAGACAAGGTCTGGGGAAAGCACAGATAGAGCGAGGTTGGACTCTACCGAAACGGGAAGCTGGTTCGGGCACCTGGCACAGGCGGGGTACAGCTCGCAGGGGTTCCAGGTTCTCCGTAACTGGACCGGATATACGCAATGTGGCCTGATTAGATAGAGACCCTTGGTCGAGGTGGACGGTTGCGGAATGTCGATACGGCTCGGAAGTTGTTGCATTTATCCGTAGCGTTGGTGGCATCGATGCCGAGGTTGGTATGGTCGTTTAACCCATATTGAACCTCTGTTCTGTATGGCAGGGATGCAATTGGAATGTTGGAAGCGCGAATAAATAGAACCTGAATGCAGTGATGAAGGAAGGACGTTGCTGGGTGAAGTTGGAAGGGAGTGCACTGTTCAAAAATGCGGGAGGCTCGAATCTCTGGCTGCCAATGGCTCCAGCGAACTCGGGGCCGTCAACAGCTCCCGTCGGATAACGAGCCCGGTCGCCCTGCAACGCCCCCCCTCCCCCCCGCCTCACAATTAAATCCAAGGTGGCGAGCATGGTTCAGTTGTGGGGGACGCTGATAATACAAAACTCTCCACATCCTTCCAGGGTGTTATTGCTCCAATAGAGCATCAGATCAGCGACATAATTAATTGAGCAAGGGCCTTACCCCAACTTTTTTATACTGCTGGCCAATCGGCACGCATCCCGCGAGTTGCTGATATCTTCTCCCAGTTCCAATCATGGTTCTTTTATCAACCTCCTGTGCAGGGCCAGTCTGAGTTAATGTTGGCAGAGAATAGGATGGTGAGACGGTGAGGGCCTCCGGTCACACCATTACATGTTCGCTCCAAGATAAGGCTAATATCTCGGACAGCCTCGCCTCTTGAACGACCCGAGAGTCTGGTCAGGGTCGCTTCCCGTCCCTTGTTCGAAGCATATTTAGCCGAGGTCATCCGTCTGGGTGCAACATACTACGTGCCATCGCACTTCAAGGGTCTACAATAAGGGATGACGCAGTGAGATTCCAATTGCTAGCTAAATTCTAAATGTCAGATTGACCACACCACCCTCCAACCGACAATTGTAGACTGTAACATCGACACTTCAGGGGATATAATATACTCCTAGAGCGACCTGACAAGGGATAGCAGGCCAGCATTGCTAATAAATAAAAAAAGAGGTAGCCACAAGGTGAAATATTAAACAAGAGGATAACGCTTTTCGGCCTCTTGCTTCAGGGCCGCATTGAAGGCTTCCCAATTCGGGGACGGTGCCGGTTCCTTTTTGGCGAAGGGAGAGTACATAACAGCCAGAGCGCCACCGAAATTTTCGGTCTGAATGAAAGTTGTACCTCCCGCAATTTCTTTGCTGGGAGTGAAGAGAAACGAGTGTTGACCTGAGAGGAGAATGGGTATCGATCCGGTCCAAGTGAAACGTTCGGGGGAATTCTCCTAGCGTGGCCGTTAGACAGGATTTGATTGTGTGATCAAGCAAAGTCTTTTATCAAGCATACCTCAACGTACGGGCGAAAGACCATCCCATGCATAGCAACTCTAAGTCGGTCTCCAACCTCCAAGTCTGACTGCGTCTTGGCGGAGTCCATAAGCGTGATGTCCCAGCCTTTCTGCCATTCATTATACCGAGCAAAATCCAAGAACTATTTCACATCATTAACATCTTCATAGGTTTTCGTAGAGTTTGGGCCCATTGCCCACTTACCACTTTTCGGACTGCATCTGGAGGCGCAGCGATGTCGATTTGCGCATATACCTCGACTTTGCCCATGGTGAAAGCTGCGATTTTAGGTGGGTATGGAAGGTTGCAAAGGGAAATTTGATTTGTGAAGAAATAATTTGCTGCTCGATAGTTCGAATATTGATGCTTGCAATTGGAGAAATTCATCCAAGGTCGCGAAAGGCAATTTTATAAATGTGTGGTTCCATCTTGTAGGTATCGCCAATTCCAGGGCCGAGGAGACCGAATAGTGTTACAGCGAGTTCGTTCGCTAAGATTTCGGGCTCTCCAATCGTGAGGCAGCTGCGTTCTGAATCAAAACAGGTTAGGCTGGGATGGTCAGTTCATTATGTCAGCGAAACTCGGCTCAGGCTCGGTTCAGCCAAACGAACAGCCACAAGGACCGTGCCACAACTAATCGCATTTACCATCCGATGCGTAGGCTGCGGCCGCCTTGATGACCATTGAGTCTTCAGACCATTATTCAATCCATTTCTATCTAGCTCTCCGCCAATTCAATTCCAAAAGCGTGGACAATAAGCATGTGGCTTGCTCGTGGTTTATTGGATTTGTGGCTTGGTAGTTTGGCTTAGTCAGTGCCGTGCCACTCCATATCAGAACTCCAGCTGCGCTCGCGCAAAATTCGGCAGCTCTCGGCCGCAAGTGAGGCGAGCCATGCCGGTGGCCTACCCTATAGCGACAACCACTTCGGCTTGGAGCAAAGGGTTCGAATTGACAGTGCCTCATAGATATTACCAAACATCGTAGAATTAATTTTGGAAACTCATTTCGTTGACTCAGGGTAGAGCTATTATTTGGAGCATATGTAGTTTCAAATCGATCAAATAGCACAAAGAGGTCGGAACGAAAGCGAAATCAATTGCAAGACTAGAAATAATAAACTGTGTGATTACGTTGGCATTAAGCCGACAAATAAAAGAAATACTAGACAATCGTCTTCTCAACGTTGTTTGGTAAAACACCTTCCATTGAAAAATTCAGGCAAACATCTCCACATCACTACTCTGCCAAACACATGTCATGGCTTTCGTTTTTCGTTGGAAATTTCCATCTCGCCCCATTTCAATGGTCAAAGAACAAATAAAAGCATAATTCTCCCGAGATTCCACTGTTGCAAGTTGGTAAAGATAAATTCAAATCTCCCATGGTAGGCTGCTCTGTTTCGTTCCCAGTGGTGGGAGGCCTTAATACGGAAGCACAAGCTCCTGGAGGCGGCGACCAAGAGTGTGGATGGGTTTGACTGGGATGGCACTAATGCGGATCTCCATGCTCGTTGAGTATGGTGGCTTCACGCCCGGGTCGCTAAACTTGCACAGAAACATGGAGTTGATGTTTGTTTCATAGAGGTAAACAAAATCGGACCTGGGCTTTGACAAAATGAGTTTTGGTTGAAACTGTGTCTGGTCAGCAACATTCTGGATCACGGCCACAGGAGGTCTCCATACTGTCATACGCATCACATCGGAGAGTGAATCAAGATCAGCTGCAGATGCCTGTTGCTCTTGTGCCATAGCGATCAAGAGCGCAGGGATGTATGGGTCGTGCATCGGGTTTTCGGGTGTTGCCTTCTTGATCTTGATGTCTCTGAGGGACTGTGCAATCTTCTAAGCTACAGCAGTCGCTGCGTAAATCGAAGAGGGCTCAAAATAGTCCTCTCGGATCCACTGGAGAGTCTTTACGTCCACATAAACAGCGAACGGTGGGGAGCGTTCGTGTTTGGAGACAGGCTGGGCATGAAAGGTGGTGCATGGAAACACCTCCACGACCTTGCCTTCAAAGAAGAGGGCTAATATGTCGCTAAAATCACGGATAGAACTTGTCAGCGAGGAAAAAAAGTATGGATTTGAAACCACATCACCTACCCCGTGTAGATTTTCTTGTCTTGGCACATGAGGTGAGGTACCGAGTGCGCTCGCTTCCAAGCGTTGATATTGGCGAATGACTGGAAGAGCAAGTGCAAGTTATTGGGCCCTGCTTCTTCTTCTTCAGCGGGATGATCATAGGTAATTCTACCGAAAGAGCATTCGAGTAAATCCAGGTGGAGGTTGGTCCAATGTGACGGCACAGCAATAACTCGCTCTCTGTTGAGGACGCGAGCAATTTGGAAGGTTGACAGAGGTTTACCATCCGCTCTGACCAAATCCATCTTGGAGGGAATGAATGTATTTGCTGCGTATTCGTGCTGGATGGTTCAAGTCAGTGTTTGTGGTGTGGTGGATGGAAAGGAAAAGGTTGAGGTTGTGGGAAGGGAGATGCGAGTGCGAGGTTATGTTAAGTCAGATGCAAGTGAAGGAAGGCAGATGAGGCAAGTGCAGAGGGAAACAAGAGCGGGGTAATGTTATTGTCTCTGCCTGAGGGAGGCAGGCAGGCAAGCAGGCAGGCAGGTACCAGGCCTGCCTCTAGTAGGTGAGGCAGGCACATTGTAGTGGTCACTCATGAGTTTCGCCAGCCATGATAAGAAAAGAGGCTACTTTTCAGAATTATGATGAATTAAAGACAAAGCCCCGCGCAATTTCATTGATCTTGTGATTTATCTGATCATTTTGCCCCTTGATGCAGTGTTTCCCCTGATCTCATTTGACAAGGACCCCAAACTATTGTACAAAGACAACAGCTCCACACCGAGGTTTGCAGCCCGTATTGCTTGGAGAGATTTGAATGATGGCGAAACGCTGATGAGCACGCTTGACCATGAGCTAATTTTGCCCTCTCCGAGGAAGTATGTAGTCCCGTATGAGCCTAGGTTGCTCGGTTAGCTTCCAACCGGCGATTCAACGGCAGAGCAGTGTGCAGGAATATCGTCTCAAGCCGCTATTCTACAATTGGGAAGATTTACCTTTGAACGTGTGGACAAAGAAGATAGAGTATGACGATGAACAAGATGTTAACCGTGTCGCGATCCATTGCTGCAGCCGGAACTTGCGATTCAGGGATTTGGTTTGAAAGGTAAGTGGATGTTGGAAAGTGGATGAGAGGGCTGCGAAGTAGGATGGTGTGTTGGAACAGGTTTAGATTGAGCTTCTGGTTAGATGAAGCAGAGACGAGATCAATGGAATCAAGTTGAAGATGTTAACACGAATGGGAATTTTCCGGGGCCACTTGCTAGAGAAACACGCAGAGGGGTGGAAACCTGAGGCAGAAGTAGAAAGGTACTACATGGCGGGAAGGCGGTATGGAGGGACCTGCCTTCCAGGTATCCCAGGTGGTGACGCCTGTGAAACACTGCACCGACTCCAACAGAACACTCTTATCTATCACCCGTTGGATCCAGTATGATCGCTTGCATTTGACTCTATTCGCATTTCTCGTCCAAAAGAACCTTTCATCTGTCGCTCAGATCACCGGAGCCAGAATCTGTGATGATTTGCGGTCTTCTGATGCTGCTCCCTGCACATCTCTCGTCAAGGAGGAACATCCACAAGTAGTACGCGCCACAAAACAAACCTCCACCAAGCAAGAACATTCCCAAGAGTACCTAGGGTAAAACAAACCTGAATAAACAGTTATTCTGGCTATTTTCTATGCAAAGTATAAGTTGAACGGTGACTGACCTTCCTTAAGATAGAGCCCGACCGACCGTCATGGATGTCCCTACCGAAAGGCCCAATGGCCACGATTCGATCGAATCACAATACCACAGACGCGAAGACAGGAAGCCAGATCACAATTACCTTAGAGACCAGGTCATTTGCCTGGCCCCTATAAAACAGGAAAGCAAACAAGCCAGTTGCTCCCGATAGCGCGGAGGAAGATTTGATGCGTTTCAGGAAACTGCTTACCTCTTCCTCATGACCAAGATCATCTGGCGGTACAGATCGCTTTCAAATTTTCCGATGTTTGGAAGAGAAATTCGTTTTTGAGGAACAACCTTCGCCTCGTGCGTTTCACCAGGATGACTTACACCCAAAGAGAATGGCCATCACAAAAGAGACCCAAGCAGATCTCTATGCTAAGCCCTCAATGGTTGAAAGTCCTATTGCAGGGATTCGTCTAAATTAAAACACATGAGATACTGTTGGCTATAAGCTACGTAGGTACGGATATCCTTGCTCCCAGGTAGATCTTATTTGAGCACATTGAAAAAAAATATTAAATTATACTTCGTCCTTGTAAAGATAACTCTAAACAACGATAGAGAGCTTGATGTTTAAGCATTCTGTGCTCTCTTCAATATCCAAACATTCTGCTCTTTCTAGAATATTCAAACACTCTCCTCCTTCTTTGACACTTACAAATTCTCCTCTCTCTTTATGGACCTTTAATCGCTCTCGCTTAATCAAATCCGCCGCTTTTTCAGCAACAGCGTACACAAGACTCTGAATGTTGCCAGCAGGTTCAAGCGGAAAGATGCTCGCGTCGACAACACGGACCCCCTTAACACCATAAACTCGTAGCTCGCTATCCACGACGCCTCCCTTGTCCTTTGGCCTCATACCGCAACTTCCTGCGGGGTGGAAGTCGCTAACTTGCGACTGGCGAACTATTTCCTTGGCGTCTTCAACTGTATCAGCTTTCAGGCTTGGGATCCGAGCGCCATCAACCTTCAGTAAAGCTGAGAAAGGCTCGCTTTTGACAAGGGTCTCGACAAATTGGATATGGCGAGCACTGAGCTCCGTGTCAAAAGGATTAGAGCCGAACTTGGGATCCCAGACTGGCAGGTCGTGGATATCAGAGCTCTTGATGTGCACGCTGCCTCGTGAGAAGGGATGGTTGAGCAGTGTCATGATGGTGAGGTAGTTTTCTGGCCTTGCGGGGATCAAGTATTCGGCCATGCTGCTGGGCTCCGAAAGCATAGTATTGACCTGTCCTGGGAAAAGGAGATACTCTGCTGTGGCCTCATCCCCGCTCTCTAGGATGGCCCGCAAGACCTTGCTGTCGTCTGATTTCAGATGCTCAGCGTTGCTATCGAAGAGATCCTTGCGTCCTTGGGATGATGTTACTCCTGACGCATCTGCGGGAGGCATGAAAGCAACGCTGATATTAGATTGGCCCAGGGGCCCAGCACCGTTTGAAGTTGTGTACTTCTGTAGCAGTGCCTGGAGGATTGCTGGATCTCGAAGTACATCGCTGGAGGGTGTGCCCGGGTTCACCTCGAAGCTCTGGCAAGCGATGGGGTGGTCTTGGAGGTTCTCTCCAACCGATGGATTGTGAACAATAACAGGTATTCCATGACTCTCAAGGAGAGAGCGGTCCCCAATTCCGGACAGTTCGAGAATCTGTGGGCTCATGAGAGAACCTGCGGCGAGGATGACTTCACCGCTATGGATGACAGTCTTAGGGCCTGAGCCGTTGCTTGGTACGGTAATCACGCCTTGCGCGACAGGCTCGACGCCAGAGGTGTCGAAAAGAAGTCTCTTCACCACAGTTTTAGTCATCACGGTCAAGTTCTTTCGGCTGGCGATCTCGTGGGTGTAGTATGCCGTGAGAGCGTAGCTTCGGGTCTTAGTTTCTGGATCAATAGTGGCTGGCTGTTGGAGAGCTCCCAAGGCCCCGCCGGCTCTCATATCAGCGGCTACTTCTAGTCCGAAGTTGTTGAATGATTCCATCCAGGCTTTATTCGTCGTGCTATATCCTTCCGAGTAGGAAACACTCACGGGGCCTTCACTGCCAACATCCGTATCATGGTACGACAGGCCTACGGTGTCTTTCGCAGCTTGCGGGGGGTCATGCATAGTAGCAAATTTGTGAAGGTACGGCGCCATGGAGTCAAATCCCCAACCTTCATTTCCAAGCTCTTCCCAGGAGTCTAGACTCTTCCTCGATGGGTAGACAAGCATCAAGAAGTTGATGGCGGATGAGCCACCCAGCCCCTTGCCCCTTGGCTGAGCAATGATTCGGTTGTTGAGCTCTTTCTACATCGAGTCAGATCTTGGAATATATGGAAACGTACGGATTGAAGCTTAATCTCACCTGGGGAACGGAGCGGAAACCCCAGTCATACTTGGGGTTGCCGTAGGCACCGGCCATTAGCCCAGGTGTCTTAATCAGAGGGTCATCGTGATGATTGTCACCAGCCTCGATAACCAAGACATTGATGGAAGGGTCCTCGGTCAGGCGAGCCGCAACTGTCAGCCCAGCTGTTCCCCCTCCAACGATGATGTAGTCATACGGTGGTGCCATTTTGATAGCAATGGGTGTGATATATAGCTTGAATGTGCAAAGGCCGGGCTTCTCACTAGGCTGTTGACATCAGCTCTATCCGGTATGCAGAAGGAACCGTCTTGTGTACAACGCGATGGGAGCAGAGGACGGACGCCTAGCTCCTAGTTTAAGCCTTGGGATCGCAGGGAGATTCCATCCCGCTACTTATACACAGAAAGCGTGCGTGATCCGTGTGATTGGGTCGGTATATGGTATACACGGTGGCGGGGCCACTATCCGTTTACGCTTTCCCATGCCCTTGCATATGGTATTTGGAGACATCCATCAGGCTGGTGTGGAGGGATGGTTACGATTCGGGCTATCCACTCGCCGGGTGGCTAACGGCGTCAGCGCATGCATGATGCGATGATTACCACAAGCAGAATCATGTCCGCCGCACTACAGGGCTCCCACTACTGAATTGAGTTTACGTACGTAATAAGCGTGACATGTCGATCAATTGCTCTTTGTTGATCAGCTTGGTAGCACTTCGGCGTGTTGTGTACAAATGGGCTGAGGAGATGCCCTCGGGATTATCAAGATGTAGCCTAGCGCTGGGATATAGCGGCCTGTCAGAGTGGAAGGCTGATTTCTCCGCTCCGCTCGACTCCCTCAGGACTAGCCACTAGCTCTCCCTGTCGTCAATCATTTCTGTGCTTTCACCTTACGCTACGGCGCATTTGGATGTCGGAAGCGAAGGCCTACTAATGCAAGACTGGTCTCGATCATCAGGGTCTCGATAATCAGGGTCTCGATCATCAGGGTCTCGATCATCAGGGTCTCGATCATCAGGGTCTCGATCTAGGTCTCAAATTAGCCCATCTGCAGCTCCGAACGAAAATCACAAAGCATAAGGGCAATTCCATTCAACTTACCGGTAATTGTTGAGAAGTCAATACAGTTTGCCTCCAGTCATTATGCGATTGTGTCTTACTAAGGGGCAAGTTTCCCCGGGGAGGGCGGGAAGGAACGGCCCTACCAGAGCCTCCTCCCCCCCTTTGTTCAGCGCCATGTGATTGTTTGTTTTCATCTAGGTACCAAACCACTTTTTGGTTCTCCAAAAGATTCGAAATTTGCTAACGCCGATCCGCCCTTGCTACCAAACGATCCGTGTGCGAAGCCGTCCGAGTATTTGCCTGCCGACCAAATCTTCCGCTTACTAGCAGGGTCCGGTTGTATAGCGACCAACCCGAGAGAGACCCTCCCCAGAACTAAGCACGAGACGGCCATGCGCGCAAAATGGAGAAGGGATACGATAAAATATCGGTACATTTCCAGACCTAGCTACCCAGCCTTGCCAGCACCACTGTGGAGTTGTGTATTGACTTGTCCGTCCTTTGGTGAAAGGTTGTTGCTGGCCTTGAGGTTCACGAGATGGCACGAGGGGAAACATCACTCAAAATCGCCGCAGGAGTGGTTGACTTACCCATGATGCCCATGGTCAGAACGCATCTAATCGTCAACTGCGTCCTTGTTTTCTTCACTCTCTCTGCAGTCTTTCTTCGCCTCTACTCGCGATTCAAGACATCAGCAAATTTATGGGTGGACGACTATCTCATCCTGCTGGCCATGCCTCTGGGCATCACCATGCTTGCAATACAAGGACTATGTGACGCTTCAATCCCTTCAACCCTCTTCCTATTCTAGCACTCTATGCTAACCTTGCTTTTGTACCCAGATGCCCCATTGGGAGTTGGGCACCCCGTCGAGGAAGCGCTCCCGAACCTCCCCACCATTCTACGGCTCACGATATCGTACGCCCTCATCTATACCTTTTGCATCAGCTTGATTAAAATGAGCGTTCTTTTCTTCTATCTTCGAGTTTTCGTCAACCCTGGTCTGCGACTTGCCACGAAGATTGTTCTCGGAATTCTCACGATCTAGAGCATCGCCAATGTCCTAGTGCTGTTCTTCCTCTGCCGCCCGTTCAAAAAGAACTACATTCTCGACGCCCCTGGGGAGTGTGGAGACCAGCCTACTGCTTTCATTAGCACTGGCGTGTACAATATAATTACCGATATCGCAATTCTTCTACTTCCTATTCCGACTATTTGGGCACTCAAGACGAAGAGAAATATCAAACTCGGGTTGACAGGCGTTTTCGCCGGTGGTTTAGTGTATGCTTCACTTTTAGCCTCGCATACCAATGTCCCTGCTGATGATTTGTGCAGTGTCTCCTGTGTCGCTGTTGTGCGGATCATTGCACTCAAACATCTCGACCTGACCAGAGTGACGGATACCATGGTCTGGGTGGACTTCCTCTCCACCGCCGAGGTCAACCTCGGTATCCTCTGCGTATGTCTCCCGATGCTCGGCCCCGTCTTTCTCAATCGAAAAGATGGGATCAAGCCTGGCTTTTGCCCCAAACAGCTCCGCTGCACTGCAGGAACAGAGTCGAAATCGAAACGATCCAGTGGGAGGAAAAGGACGCCTGATTCGATTGCTCTCGAATCTATATTTGCACTCGACAGTGAAAGAAGTCTTGGGACGAAGCTTTGCATGACCAAGTGCCACTCGAGCAGCACTGGAAGCGAGGCCCCCCTCAACCCAAAATCGAAGCCGGGGGCAACAAAGATCTTGGATAACCCATTCATCATTGAAGAGCGAGGTGAGATGTATTAATATGCCGTCATGCGTGGTTTCGGTCCTCGATTGGGGACATTGGCTAAAGAAAGGAAATGGGAGTTGGGTTTGTACAAAACATCATCAAAGAGCTCATTGTGTTGAGATGTCGGATCTGGCATCTTTTATTGTTTTGTTTTTTTCTTTATCCTCAAACTCTCACCAGGATCATCAGTTAGCAAGCCGGCGATCAATGACGGCGATTCAAGAAAAATAAAAAAAAACAAAAAAAAAACTACACATATTGCAGAGGGGTGTATAACAGAGCCATCCTTTAAGCTGGGAAATACAAAGTTTTTATTACCTCATGCTAATTCTACTTGGCTTCATTCTAAATACCTCGGGTCTAATAAGAGCGACGCTGAAAGAGCTAGATAGACAGGCATCACCTAGGCTGGATGGCGGATCACTAAAGCATGCTCAAGAAGCCACCGAGGGTGACGAAGTCTGGCCATTCTTCTCTCAGGCGTGAGACTACAAGATATTCTCCGCATGCAGTGAACGATACTCGATTGACTAGAGACGCGATCTGGCCTTTTGGTCCGCCGTCCAAATCCAGGACCGTTGGGTTCTTATCTATGTCCATTGTCAGAAACATGGCCACTCCGAGTCTTTGCACATAAGACGCTCACCTTTCAAAAACCTCCAGAGATACGTTTGTAGCTCGTCTCGAAAAAGTAGCAAATCCTCCGTGGGATGAAACTCGCAGTCTTGAAGCCCACTGCTGAACGAAGACGAAGCGAAGGAGTTGGCCACCCCAACTTTCTTCCGACCATCAGGCCGGTTGTTGATAACGAAGACAACGGCACAAGTACCGTCGTCAACCCAGGCCAATGGTTGCATCTGAATATCATGAAACAGGAGATACTTTCCGTCTGGGCTCCAAGTAAACTGGTAGCGGTATATGTCAGATCGAGCTGCCGTGTGTTCCCTGTCCCCATCACTCTTCACCTTGCTCCAGCTCTTCCATCGGTGAGTGATTGGCCCGTGCAAGGAAATGACTTGCTGGAAGAGCTTGTCATTGTTCACACAGACAAGGTTGTGAAGCACGGTAAACATGTCCAAGTCCGGGCTAATGGAGAGAGGAAATGAGCAAGCCCACTCCTTGTCATCTGCGCATAAGCCTTGTCGGAGGCACAACGCCACGTCCAATTTGGACAGGTTGATTTCGATGGACGTGGTCATGACGTGCCCCGAAGACTCGTATGAGAATACACGATAGGTGGCGGCCCACCCATAGCAGGCATCTTTCAACTGCTTCGCTGTCTGGGGAGGGCTGGGCACGTTCGCAGCCCTATCTGGGGACAGGATTGTGCCCTCGAGCAGGGCCCGTATCTGAGCTATGTCTCGTGCTAGATCCCTTGGGGGGCTATCGTATGATGGAATATCAGCATGTTTCTTCCATCCATCACGAAAGCGTCTGCAGTCACAAGGGTCAGTCTCGTCCTCAGGCAAGTGGATGGCGAGGGGCCTACCGGTTGGGGAAGACTTGAAGGAAGGCAACTCTCTTCGAATCCCGGGTGGCTCTGTAGTGGCTGAATACCGGGATGTGCCTCTGGTATTTTATTTCATCGGGAATCAGATCACCCATGGCGCCTGTAATCTCGAACAGCGGATGAAGTTGATAGATGTGCACTATCAGGGTTTTGCTGGCTCCCGAGATGAAGGGTGGCCGCCAGGACTTGAAGTAAGGAAGGAAGTTGAGGTTGGCTACCGCGGACGCAGGTCTGCCTAAATAGTGGTGTTTGGGTGTACGAAATGCATTTCAGGTGGCAGGCACAACGCAGTAGTAGGTAAGGTAGGTAAGGTAGGCGAATTACTTCATCACGGATCTGCCTGGAGCCTGCATGGATGAAAATGTTTCTCTTATATCAATTCAATATGGGAACGTAAGCTCCCGTCTTTTCAACGCAGTCATGCATTTCAGAGCGCGTCCTCCGATGGGGCGTTGCAGGCGGGAAGCGGCATCGAAACATTTGCACCGGAGTGTTTTATGTCAGCCGTACGGCAAGTGCAAACACCAACTTTTGCGGGAGCCCCGCCACCAACGGTATTGTGCAGGTATAGTTTCGACTCCTTGACATGTGAGTCTCTGTATTGAGCGGATGCGCACACAATCCAATTTATTTTGTCTTGCTGTGTTCATCGCCAAGTCGGCTGCAACGTGTGTTGGTCGAGCGCATCAATGTGTGTGCTTGTCGCACAACTTCATTGCACTTGCCCTGCTGCAGGAGGCCATGCCACCAAAAATACCTCCCTGACTCAATATGTCGCCGTGCTAGAGCTAGAACTAAGCATCAAACCAAGGCAAGGCATGAAAAATAATTACTACAACAGCAGCATCAAGCTCACAGGGGAAGTCGTATGAACGACTGGGTGCAATTGTTTTGCTCTTCAGCTCCAGGGTAGCGCAGCCTGGCCAGGTGATTCGCTTCTTCAACTGCCTACCTAATCGGGATAACCGCGAGCAACGAATTTTCCTATTGGCTGAGAGTGGGGCTCATCGCGATGCCTCATTCTGCCAGCTGCAATCACTCTTGGCGCTGACCGCCCTAAATGTCGATTAAAACTGCGCCGAACAACCTCGATCTTTGAATTCTCCCTCTTTCTTCTTCCGACCAAAAAATTCTTAGTGGCTGAGTGTAGTATCTGTTTTTTTTTTTTTAATCTTTGGCCCCGGGGGGATCTCTATGCAAGTGCACATGATTTCTCCCAGTGTATCCCTGGTATTACACTGCCTCCAGGAGATGCGAACACTGGTAATTTTTCATTGCTCTTAACGGCTTGCCGTTGAAGTGAGGAAGAAGCTTGTTTCCCTCTCGTATTTTTGTTGTCGATCGCTGCGTCACGCCGTTGAAACGGGACCTCGGTGCTGAGTACCAGCTGAAATCAACGTGACCTTGTTTACATGATGGCACTGGGTCTTGGGTTCAAGCTGTTTGACTCTGGATAAATTCTTCAGCTAGATACATTAATTTCCCATCTCGGAAGATCATGCACTGATCCCTCAAAGCGGTGTTAAACGATGTACTTTCTTTTTGGGCCGCGTTCTGAAGGAAACACGAACACGTCTTGCTATGCTCTGTTTGTGATCTACACCTGTTGCAGACTTCCTACGACGAATAAGGGTGTTCATCAAACGTTTCACAATTTCATTCCATTCAAAAGGCATCAATTAGTACAAGGTTCATTCTACCCGCGTCTCGCATCGGTATTAAGGAGGGCGGGTGCGGCTGGTGGCTCGGTGTGTGGAGCGTGCATCCCGCTCTATGGCAAGATTAAGTTTGAGGCGCGATATACGGGCTGAGCAAGCTGACAAGGAGGGGATTTCCTAGCTTTTGCCCAGTAACTTTACCGTCATACTTCCCTAGCATCGAAGCCCCGCCCATTTACCTCTGGGTAGCGCTCCCGGAGATTTTCCTCCGCTCAAAAGCTTCAGGGATGCGCCGGGGCTGCTACAGCGTCGCCAAGATGTAGGCTCCCGATGGATGGTGTGGGGATCGATGAGGCCGGCGACATGTCCTTCGTAGGACCCCTTAGGGGCGCTGCTACCCGGGCGGACCTCGTCAAGCTACCCGCACCATGATCCGATTAACGCCGCTGGCCTGATCCCGTCGGCATAACTGGCTCTGTGGTCTGCCGCGTGTAGGGAGGGTGCAGGGGGCGGAAGGTCTTCGTTCTCGGGCTACGACTAGTGGACGGCTGGGTGCTGTGGTGGCCCGCGGGCTGAAACTCGGAGACGCTGGCCAGGTTCTTTCCCGTGGGATCGGAAATTGGGAGCTGGAGCATCGGCGACCTGCAGAACGAGTTTCAAGAACTGGTTGCAGCGGTTAGCAGGTCGGATAGCATATGGGCTGTACCTATGGCAGACGCAGAGAGCGCGTGGGATGAGGACGGCGAGGGCCAGAGGCTGGTTTCTGTCCCTTGATCTGGGCCAGATGGATAATTAGCTGCCGTGGACAATCCCCGAAGTGCGAGACTTGCCCTGGAAATACAGCCCACACCGGACGTCGGTATTGTCGGCCATCCGGCTGCCTGCTTCCAGATGAATAGTGTGCGCCGCCGCAGATAATTTCGGCATCAAGTGCCTTCCCGGTTTCGCATCCTGTTTCAATTGCGGAATAGCAGGAGTGACTCATTGTGAGCCGACGACAGAATTATTAATTCAGTGGTGCATTTGCGGTACGACGTTGGGGGCATGGAGGTGCGATGGAAATTGCGCTGCTTGACTAATCGCTCGAATTTGTCAGTTGGCCTGGTACGTCATTGGTAAGCGCGCAATCAGTGGCAGCCCGAACAGCGAGCACAGGGTAGACAGATGCTGCGGAATCACGGAGAAGGCTTGGCCTGGCTGACATGGTGACAAATTGATGAAGCCATTCAGAGAATATAATATTCTCATATCTCCTGAATGATGGATAGGTAGCAGATATCGATACTTAGAAATAATAGATCTCAATTGCATTGCATTATTACAGCCTTTGCGATAACCCAGCCAATTGTCTATCTACTTCAGTTCTATACTTGTAGACGAAATGGAGGTCATGGGTATGCTTCTAGAAACCGATCCCTGTCGCCCGGATATGGAAAAAGCTCACACGTTATACAGTGGAACAAATCGTCGTGCCCAGATGGGATTCACATAGACCTTCACGCCGGAGCTTAAAACCCACGTCCAAACCTTCAAGTTCTGCCCCTAACCCTGCAAAGGCAAGGGGTTTATCGAAGCAAAATGAGAAACTCTTTGCTCTGTACCTCGAATCGAAAGAACTCTTCTATCGGTCGGCGTTGGCCAGAAGATTCGAGGCCATGCTTCATGCCAAGAGCCGGCCGAGGATAAATAAAATCGTATCCCTGGGTCTGGGAAGTCTCGGCGCATCAAAAGATCAACCACGTCGGATGAAACAGCTTGCGATCTTCATGGCCATTGCCTCACATATCCAAGCGACTTCCGAAAGACAGTTCCAGATCCCTTTATACGCCCAAGATCCTAGCTTTACAAAGACGGACGAGGACTTTCTCAATTTTCTTGGTGTTCATGTACTCAGAACCCCGGAGGCTTCTGATCTTGGGGAGGCGGGGCAAATGATCGACGGGGAAACTCTTATATATAGTCCGTTCTTGACTATTGAGGCGTACGGGAGATTATTCGCTGCTGCACAAAAGAAGTCAGAGAAAGCCAAGTCCTTGGAAAGAATAGCGCCAGTGCTTATCGGGGATGATTTCAACGCGCTGAAACTGAAATGGGAGAAACGGACCGCGGAGCATAGAAATGTCGAATCATTGATGAGGGGCTTGAAGGAAAGAAGTTACCAGCGGAGAGTGATTAGTGGTGAAGGGTTCTGGACGGAATCAGATAATCCGTTCCCTATGGCACTCTACTGGAGACAGCTGGAGAGAACATTAGAAGGTGCCGAGGCCACTGCACCGCTGAAAGGAAAGCTATAGACGTTAAATTTAGCACTTAATACAGAGCCTCGCGCTCGCGATATCCCAAAACCGCCTGAACCAGAGCCACGCTTAGCCATTCTTAGATCACATTCTCCGATGACATTCAAACATGCTCGCACGCCAACCATCTCCCTCGTTTACGCCGGTGCTAACTGTCCTACCTACCTATACACACCCACGAACTTTACCACTGACAGCCGATGCCAACGTCAAAACCTTCCTGGCTTCTTAATCAGACTCCAGATTTGGAACCGGATGCACCCAGCTTACCGTGCCGGCCGGCAGATCCTTTGCTGGGATAAAGTCGAAGACCGATGCCTGACGGATCGCCGGAGAGACAACATACCTTCGCATCAGCCATCCAACAAAATTCCGAGCAAAGATGAATCGACTTAGAAGGTAGTGGAACCAGCTGGCCCAGGTCTGCACCCTCGTCACCATGGCCGACTGATTGCAGTCCTGAATAGCTGGCTCCCGCCTGGCTTCCTGGTAAGTTTTGAAGATCTGCTCTAGGGCCTCTGTGCTGATATTCTCCGTAGGTTGCGCCCGAACAGCTTTTTGCAACTCGTTCGACAGGACCACGATGTCCTGGATGCCATTGTTCAAACCCAGGCCAGCGTTTGGAGTGTACTTGTGGCACGAGTCTCCAGCGAGAACAATCCGTTTCCAGTACCAATGCTTCAATACGCCCTCTCCCAAATCCGACATGCCCCACGTCTGGCGCTTCGCGAATACATCCTTGACCTTGAGAGTTTCATTGACAGGGAACTCGGCAATGTTAGCGGCGAATGCTTCGACATCCTTTTCCGTATACGTGTGGCGCTCTGTTGTCGGCTCAGGGAACTTGTCGTACGTCAATATCCAGCCACGGTCTCGGCTTGTCAAGAACATGGCGGATTTATCCTTGCTTGTTGCCTCGTAGTTGGCACCAGGGGCCTCAGGGGGAGGAAAGCTGCACCACATGCAGCGATAGATGGCTGGGAAGGGATCCTTGGGGTCCCACTCGGTGCCTGGGTTCTCCTCGAGGGCCAATTTGCGAATGGTGTTGCGCGTCACGCTATGTACGCCATCTGCGCCGATGACGATTGAGCCTTCGAAGACATTGCCATCACTGGTGGTGACCTTGACGCCCGTTTCAAGAGACTCGATGTTGATCACCTTCTTGTTGGTGAAGTAGCGTCGCTTCACACCATCCGAGAGGCTCTCATAGAGCTCACGGACAAGTTCTGCCCGGTGGAATGCCAAGTATCCTACGCCGTGGCTTTTCGATACCAAATGTGTCAGAGTATTATTGAAGATGATCGAGCCTGGGGTTTTGAGAGAGATGCTACTTACTTTCCAGCAAGGGCTAGCAAGTCATTGTTCTGCTTGAACTTGTACCCGTTTAGGAGAAAACTCTTGTTTGTCCGAAGCTGGCTACCGATGCCCAGCAGCCGACCGTACACACCGAGCTGATTCATTACCCTGAGATTTTGCGGCCCGATGACGACGCTGGCTCCCACATCGCGAGACAAGTCGGCCTTGTTCTCTAAGACGACAAAGTCGATGTTTGCTTTCTCCAGGGCGTGCGCAGCCACTAAGCCCACCGGCCCACCACCAACGATGATGGCCTTGAATGAGGATTCTCCCATGATTAATTCAATTCACAATATGGTGGTTTTTAGGAGCTATATTCTACGGGAGTCGAGCGGTCTACGCTGGTATTAATTCGGGCGGCATGGACCATTATGCGGCAATAAGATAGGCAAGATGGGCTCACAATGGATGATGTGATTATGGCCTTGGATAACGTCAGTCATAGAGGTCTCCATCTACGAATTGACACGAGATTGGCCGCGAATACACGGCACGGTCGCCTCCAAGTTCCCTATCGTGCATTTTGGGGGGAAGTCGAATGTCTCAAAGATTCAATTGATCTCAGGGCCTAAAACTGTCTTCTTTTTTTCTATCATCGGCGAGCGATTGGCTGTCGCATCCTTCGCGGATTGCACTCACAGCCTCGATCGAGGGTCATCTAAAACCCCAAGAATTCGGCGATGAAGTCCCTCTTGCCCAGAGGCACACCCTTGGCCCGAAGAATAGAGTAGGCGGTGGTAATGTGGAAGAAGAAGTTGGGGAAGTTGTGGGTTAATACGGCCTGCTGGACTGTGACCTTGTGGGAGAAGCCGGTCCACGGAACGACGCTGATTCCTTTGGTTAGCTTGCACCCCCTTTTCCGGGATCAACGAACGGGAAACTCACAGATCAACCTCCTGTCCAGCACGAGCATTGACCTGCGCGACGTCGAGGGCCTTCAGCTGGTCGAGAGTCTTCTTGATGCGGTTGTGCAGGTCATCGATCGTCTTCTCGTTGTTCTCGAAGAAGGCGGGCTCGGTGCCGGTCAGGCGGCCGATGGCGACCTGGACGGCCTTAGAGGTGTTTTGCACCTGGAAGCCGAGGGGCAGCTGGTCCTCAACCAGGCGATCCTGGACGTAGGTGTTGACGTCCTCATTCTTCTCCTTGGCGTACTTCTCGGCCTGGGTCAGAACGTGGTCGAAGGTGTTCAATCCGCGGATCAGCACCGGGACGATGGTATCGTATAGAGTGAGAGAGGCCATTTTTGGTGATTTGAGAGAGGGGGAAGAGGGGAAGGTGGTATTCGGCTGATTCTGGTTGATATATGCTGACTATTGATGGCAATGGCTCACCCTCAGTCAGCTGGGGATCAACGCCGTCTTTATGTAGACCGAGGCTGGGCAAAACACCACGTCGTCCATGTCGTGATCGCAATTACGTGCCCCATAGTCACTGATGGAACTCTTGTGTCAAGCAGCATGAATCTGCATCAGGGCTGCTTCTATCTCAACATGGTACCATTTGATCTCATCCGCCAGGGCGCTGCTGTGATTTGTCGAGGCCCGTCGGCGGTCCCTCGCGTCATGCGCAGGCACATGGCGTCATCCTCAGATCTACCCACATTTGTCATCGGCCGCCAACCGACATCGGCAATCGCCTCGTTTTCGTGATTCCGATTGTCGTTTTCGCCATTCCGTGATACAAGCGTGTCGACTGTGGCGGATTGCTGATTGGATGGAAGGGTCGCTGTTCCTGAAAATGGCGGTCTAGATCGAGGGTTGTCGGCTCGAATCCACCTGATATGGCGGCATGTTGCACAATAGTTGAGATGAGGGGTTGAAGCACCGGCTCATGAACGAAATGAGTGTATTAATGGTAGTTGTGTACTCAATTCTACTCTCTTCCATCTGGTGGCTGTAGCTGCTCACTTCGATTGTGGGCTTCGTGTACCTTTACTATTATGTTTTATAAGTGTGGCTGCGATATCTTCTTCCTTCTAATAGTTTTATGCCACCGAATATATCGAGATTCTGATTATGTGTTGGGTCATTGGTTGTCTGTGTAGTCAATAGAGACCTGGAACACGTTTGCTGGAGGTTTCTTAGATGTTCAAATGGTGGAAGTATTCGGCTATCTGAGTAGAAGAGTGCAAGCAGGGGAGTCCCGCCGCTCGAAGACCATGGCTTTTAGTCACTCATGCGCTCCGCACTGCATCTTCACAGCCTCGAGATCTTGAGTTCAACGAAGATAATAGGTTTATAGACATGTGTATTTCTCATAATATTGTACATAACTGCCAAGAATCTAGATTATCCCTCGAAGGTTGACAAGTTTCGCTGTCCATAGTATGATGAAGGCTTGGTTGTTGGAAACGTTCTTCTTGGGGGACCCTTTTCATCCCAAAAAATCATTCTTTCTTGGCTCCCCAGGTCATGGCGCGTTCGAACGTTGTGTTGCTAGAGGAAACATACTATACTTGAGCTATTCAATCGTAGGCTAGCCTTAAAGGCACAGCATGATGTGGCCTAGGCGACGGGGGTTCTGCGGCAAGGCTAAGCCAACACTCATATACGTATTTTCTACCTCTGCCGTTGGAGTTCTGCTAGGCAGTGCCATGGCAAAGATGGAAAAGCTCGTCTTAGTTCTGATTCGCTTGCTCAGTCTCTCTCGGCTTCGTCCCAGGTTCATGCTCCATTGGCAAATCCGTTGGTGCATGGCTTGCAGACGACGAATATGGCCCTTGCTTGTCGAGGCCCTTGGGGTCTTCGTATTGACGCGAGTCGATAGCACCCCTATGGATGGAGCTTTTGTCGAATTGCTCGTGACTGCCCAGATTTCTAAATCGCCAAGCCTGACGAAAATCGGTTCTCACCTGAGAAGCTGCGAGGCCAGCTCCCACAAGCATGAAACCAGTGAGGATACTGCTGAACTTCATCTTAGGTATAGTAAATAGTGGGAAGTATGTAGTCGAAGATAGAGAGTGTAGAGTGTTGGTGGTGAGTTGCAGCTCGTCCATGCCATTAGAGTTGCGGATCGGGGGCTAATAAACCTCATGAGGCTGTTTCATTTCTAATTGTGTATGACGCGTTGTCTGGATCAATGAATCATCCATGTCTCTAGTATCGCCTAGGAGACTGAGACCATGGCTGGCGTTTGACAGATATCCCATAGCAGAGATTTAAATTAGCGTCGCAAACCAAGACAGAGCTACGCCATTCTCCAGAACTGTCAGTGATCGCCCCATCACATTCCAATTGAGAATTTGTAAACCAAACAAAGGATCTAATATGCAGGTATGATTCGGCCAGGCTGAATCATGATGGGGAAACAACCATGTGGCAGCATGGCGTTACCATCATGGGTTGGCCCGCAAGAGGAATTCCTAGATTTTTATCCGTGGAATCTCCCTTGGAACAACAGTACTAAAATACGTATATGTCGGTGTGTAAACCGAGAGTATACCCCTTTTTGTAGCTTTTGACACCAGACTGCATGAAGTATACGTGAGTGTTCATCTGTCGCCGCAGCCTTATTTCGAGCCTCAAATACACGCAATTTAGCCTCTCTTACCGTATTTACATCTAAGGTAATCAAGTCTTCCCCGGCAAGCTCGTATCAAATAGACCTGAATCGAGTAATTGAAGCTGGAATCTCCATGCCAATGATTAAGCCTACTATCAAATAAGAAGACTTCTATCATGCATGAAGAGTCTCTAGGATTACGAATCGCATATTATCTTGCCTTTTTTCTTGACTGAACTACTGTAATTTGATGTCCAATCGGGCTGCATTCACCAAGTGTTGTGTCGGTTGAAAAAGGCTTTAGGTTGAAGCCATATTGATTCTGCTCGTATTTCCAACTGAGAGAGTTGGCGTATATCGCGGATGGAGACTACTATTGCCAGAAAGTGGACATATCAAGGAGGTTCGCTATACAAATCAGTACGTTGCTAGTCCCGTGACCATCCTATTATGGGGGTATCTGAAGAAGAAAGTAGTGTGAAGAGATTGGTCAGGCCCAACAGTGTACCGCATAAATACCTAGGCTTGGAAGAGAAGCTATACAGCAACAGCAGAGCAAGAGATGTATTAACACTAAATAATAGTTCCGAACTCAACTCAACGATTCTCGCAACAGTCACAGGAGGAACCCAGGGACATTTCAACAAAATTTCAAAGCCAGTCCCCGCTTCAAAGTTTTCTCACCGTTGAGTAGTGTTGGCAGTGGGGAATAATACAATTACGGCCGACGAGTTGACCTACCAGCTTGACCAGGGAGTTAATCATTAGTGCCCAGGGAAAACCCCCAAATTGACCTGGACCAGGACCTATTTAATTAGAAGTATCCGCAATTTCCCCATCCTGATCAGTGTCGGAAGGATGTGACCCTGGGACAACGTGCGCTGGGCGGTGGGTTATCAATTTAAGTCGAGAAGGGGAAATGATGATCGGAGGAGGAAAAAAAGTCGGTCTGACCGTGCGGGGAAACCTGCGACTGCCCAAGAAAGTATACCGAGACTTCAGGCAGTGGCCGTCTTGTCCCGCCTTTCTTGCTCTTTGCCACAGCTGCGTCGCTTGTCTTTGATGACTTATCCATCTCGCCAACTTCAACGATGTCAGACAAAGAAGCTGTTCCTGGGTACGATGCACCAGTAGAAGCATTGGAAGATGCCGAGGTAACGTTGAACTTGGCCCTCGAGCTTTGAAACGGACTAATGCGTGATGTGTATGGCAGTCTGGGATCCCCCATCAAAACGGCGAGATCAGCGAGGCAAAGTCCAAGCAACTGGTGCGCCGGCAGGACTATCGCATCATCCCGCTATCCGCGGCGATCTACCTGCTATGCTACCTTGACCGTTCCAATATCGGAAATGCCAAGGTACTGAACTCGACCACCGGCGATGATCTGCTTACCCGCACCCACATGACCGCCTACCAGTATACCATCGCTCTGATGATCTTCCTCATCGCCTATGCCATATTCGAAGTCCCATCAAATTACTTCCTCAAGAAGGTCAGGCCCAGCCGATGGATCGCATTTCTTATGCTGTCATGGGGTTCCATCACGGTGGGGTTTGCTGGCGTCCAAAGCTATGCTGGGGTTGTCGTTGTGCGATTTCTACTTGGTGTGTTTGAAGCAGGTATGTATCATGAGTCTCAACAGAAAGACAAATTTAAGTTAACTCACGTGGAACAGGTCTCTTCCCCGGTCTGGTCTACTACTTGACATTCTGGTATCGACCTGAAGAGAGATCCATTCGAGTTGCAGCGATTCTGGCCTCGGCAACACTCGCTGGCGCGTTCGGCGGAGCCATTGCTTATGGCGTAGGCCACATGAATCAGGTCCAAGGCCTATCAGGGTGGAGATGGCTTTTCATTCTGGAGGGGCTTCCGTCGATCCTATCGGCTTTCTTCGTGTGGTTCGCACTCCCAGACTACCCCGAGACCGCTTCGTGGCTTTCTGCGGAGGAAAAGGCGCTCGCTGCTCAGCGGCTTTCTGGACTCGGCTCTCAAGGTAGTAGTGCGGCAATGACATGGGCTGATGCGAAGTCAACACTCCTGGAATGGAGATTGTGGTGCCATTATATTGTATGGAAATTGCCAGCCGGGTTGAAAAAGAACATATCTGACACTTCTGATCTAGATATACTTTGGAATTTCCGTCCCTTTTTCGAGCTTGTCTCTCTTTACGCCATCATTGACAGCTGGCCTTGGTGTAAGTTGCTATCACTCGTCTTCCTAGCCATGGTTGTTAACGCTTGCTGACTCCTCCCAAGTTTGAAAACTTGAATGCTCAGCTCATGACTGTCCCTCCGTATGCATGTGCATATGTTGTTACCCTTGCGGCTTCATGGTCGGCAGACCACTTCAATGCGTAAGGAAATACGATAGAAGACAGTCCTTTCTTGTTGGATCGAGGTGCTAACACGCAGATCCTTAGCCGTGCACTTCATTCCTCCATATTCTCCCTTCTTGGGGCGGTCGGTTTCATCGCTTCTGCCACACTCCCCCCGCATGCGTATAGTGTGAGTAATCCATGCGGCGATGCTTCCAATACTTTGTCCAGCCAGCTGATTAGAATGTACAGGCTCGTTATGGATGTCTCATTATCGCAGCCTCGGGCTCTTTTGCCTGTATTCCTCCACTTCTTGGGTGGCTTTCCTCTAATCTGCATTCGACGGCGTCTATCGGGTTGGCAATTGCCCTCAATATCTCGATGGGCGCGCCCGGCCAAATCGTCGGTGTATGGATCTATAAGGCAGAGGAGGCTACCAAGGGGTACCCGATGGGTCACTGGATCAATGCCGGCTTCTTGCTCATGGTCTCCGTGGGGTGTCTCTTGATGCGATTCTATTACACGACGAGGAACAAACGAGCTGTCGGCACCGAACAAAAGGTGTTTAAGTATTGAGATGAAATGTTGTGCAGGAAACTCGGTATTTTGTTGGCATGGGGGCTGCACAAAGGAGCGCTGTGTGAAAGAGTGTGCGCTTTGTTCTCCCAGAGCCTCCCGCGAGTTTCGAATGGGCTCCGGGTGTGTGCCAGTTGGGAGAAGCCGGGGAGAAATTCATTTCAGTAGGTATAAAGTAGAAAGGTTAGCTCATGACGTAAGAGATGTTGATAACAGTTGCTATCACACAATACAAACACCTTTAGCACAGGTACCTTCCCCCTATGCTGTGATGTTGCAAGGTCTCTAGGCTGTGGGAGCCCCCTATCGAGCTCCTTGTTCTGCCTTTCTTTAGTTCTCTCACCGCCCGACTCCCCTAATTCACAATTCCTTCAGGTGATCACAAGACCAGACCGATTGGAACAGTGTCGCTCCTTCCTCGACATGCTTCGGAAAAATGATCTCCCATTCGCACTCTTGGACTCCTTAGTATTGCATCTTTACTTACACAGCTTTGACGCGACGGATGCTCGAGCACCTACCCTCGCCACTACATTCTCCTCTCGTTTCGATCTTCCAAATATCCAAGATGCTAAACTATTTGCGTTGGCGCTGTCGTCTAGATTAAGCTGAGCCGGTATCAAGGCTTAATTTCCACACCAAGCAGCTTATTAGACTCGGGCTGTTTGCCAAATGCGCCTGCTAGTAACCGGACGCCGTTTCAGAATTCAAATCGAAACTATCAGCTCTATGTGCGTGTCCGGGTTTGATGAGGATACTGCTCAATGCTGACATAGGAAATGGCAATAGAAGCGAGTTAACTAAGGCAAAAAAAGGGCCGAGAATAACTCAATCGTCGAGTACCTTGAAATCCACGGAATCCACGAATCGATATCCATCGTCTCATATATGAGAGGCAGACACACGCCCAGTTTCCAAAGAGGGATGCTACGACGACAGATAGACGAACTCCGATTAACATCCGACCAATTCAGAGAGGGAATTTGTCCGAAGCGATTCGAGCTTGGCTACTTCCGGAAAGGCACCATGATACATCTGATCGGTTCGTCAGCCGAAGCCTTGGTTCTGGTCGAGGAGATGGTCTACGGACGCCAGCCGATCACCTGATCGGATCGCTGGCCGGCGCACCTTGCAGTAGCCTCCCTGCCCCTGTTTCCAGGACGAGATGAGCCTCGAGTCGTATTTGGTGACTCAAGTGGGAGAACTGATCATATAGAGCCTCAAGCAGATTGTTTATTCTATTTGCCCTCTCTTGGTGATGGCTTCCCGGCTTGGAGATTTCGCTTCGAGCAAATCTAGGATCAGTTCCGACGTCTGCTTTCCTTGATACTGGTGTAGCGGGATGGATGGAGATCTACTCCTCATCTGGGGTTAGCCTACGCGAGCCCGCCTGCAGGCTAGAGTGAATGGCTGCCAGCATGATCTCTAATTGGCAGTATGGCGATCCAAAAGGCGGGAATGGTCCCGATTTCACCACCGCCAAGGGTTTTTGGGAAGCATCCCGAGAATGCACCGAATATGTCGCTATCTTTTCCTGACAGAAGGTATATTAGTCGATATGCCCCGCGAACCTAATCTTCGAATTGATTTTCCTGTCTATCTTACGGATACACCAAAGTAGTAAAGAGTAAGTTCCTTACCCCTGAACCGACCTAAGGCCGGGAAGCTCTAACCCTAGTCCAGTGTCTGACAAGCTCGTTCCTCTCACCATCATAAAGGGCGCCGGCTCTGAGTTCATTCCCCTTCCCCAGGGCGAGAACGCTACCACAGCTGATTTCCACTCCATCCGCACCAAGACGACGGACTCGCCATCTTACTTCACCTCTGGATTCTACAAGATCACTGCTGGACCTGCTCGCCCCGCCCATTACACCTTTGAGGAGACCAAGTATGTCCTCCAGGGCCAAATTGATATTTTGGTATGTGATTCCCTCTTGCTACCTCATTCGGAGCGCCAGATATACTTCATCTATTTGGAAACATCTCACGGGCATAAATGTCCGAATCCTTACCAGAAGCCATCCGAATGGACTAACAGTTGAAATAGGACGAAGCCACTGGCATCACTCACCACCTAGTCCCTGGAGACTTCGCCTTCTTCCATGTCGGATCCAAGGTCAAGGTTCGTTTCTTACCCAACTATTCGATCCTGCTACGGGAACCGTCCCCTATCCTCTCAATCTGCAAATAATAAGCATAAAGCTAATACATGTAAACAATTCCCTCAGTTCTCTACCAAGTCTGACGGTCTTGCTTTCTACGCCGTGACTCGTCCGATCCGCAACCCTCACCCCAACCTCCAGGGCCGCGAGGAGAGCGTCAATGCCAAGCTGTAGAAGCAAATACGAGACAACGAAAAGATTTTCTGTTATTTCTGTCAAAAGAATAGAGATAGCAATATAGAACCGAATGATAATGAAGTAACATCCCATCGTTTGTTTCCTCCGATTGCATTGTGTTGCTAGGAGAGATCGCGAAAAGCGCAAACCGAAAGACGCCGAGCAAACCTGGGTATCTAATTGTGAAAAGCCTCATGGAATCACCCGCCAACAAAATTCGTCAAATCATACCCGAATAACAATGTCATCAGGCGTAGCAAGCCGGTAATATCGAACACGTTCGACAAGATAATCATACCAGCCAGAGGTACCCCTTGGTAAAGGAGCGGCGCGTATAAGCAAACGAAGCAGGATACACCTAGAAGGCACGAAACTCGGGGATAATGAGCGGCGCCTGGAACGCCGGGACATCCTCTCGGTGTCCTAGAAGAACGAAACCATTTCTCTGGAGGAGGCAAGCCAGCTCGTTGAAGCGGGTTATGCCGGACCCTGCAGAGAAGAGAATTTCATTATCGCGGGAGAAGTTCCAGTTGTATCCGGCCCTGATGCCGGGCTCAGATGATACCAAATCATCCATGAACCTGCGCAGCCTGGGACGGGGCAGCGGCACATCCGGGCCTGTGCTATCCACAAAGAACACCTTGACGAGCCTGGATCTGGGATGAGTGAGGAAATCGTTCAACTTGACATCGGGAATGTCAGCGGGGGACTGGAACTCCGGGATCATCTCGGTCGCGGGGAGCTTGGCTCTGAACCCGTGAGCCTGCAGTATCTCCTGGGCCATGGTGTACAGAGCGTCCGACACCCCCGACTCTTCCGTCGTGACCAGGACCGTGTTGTTCTGGAAGGAGAACTGCGTGAACTTGGTCCACTGCCAGGTTCTCGTCTCGGTGAACTTGTACCAGAATCCTTGCCACTTGACCCGCAGGACTGTCTGGTTGGTAGACTGCCCGCCAAGGATGACTTTGAACATGCTGGGGTAGTTCAGTGCCTGACTCGGGAGGGCGAAACGCCTAACGGTAGGAAGGCTTCTCTGAGGCGCCTTGAAGTACCGCGCGTTGACTGATTGGTGTCCCATGATCGTCTTGACCCGGACAAAGTCGTGGGCGAGCAGAATCGCCTCCGCCGAGTCCGGGAAGCATTGCAGGCAGCTCTCTCTGGCTGTCACGACTATGAGACCGGGCAGCGGCACGGAGCCCTCTTCCACGGCCCAGCTTCCGTAGCCTGTTAGTCTCCAGCCCATGGTCGAGGTCAGCTCGTCCCAGAAGTGCAGTAGTTTTTGTCTCAGGCTTTCATTCTTGCCCACGACGAACAGTACTTTGATGAGAGCTGCTTGAATGTTAGAACATTGAGTCATCGGTAGATATTACGGGCTGAGCAGCCGCAAGGAGGTTGGGACTAACAAGCCATGTCTCTGGTGGTCTTTGCCACTGTGTGCGATTAATCTTAAGACAAGCGGCAACAATAGATGGGCGCTTGCTTTGAATCAGCGTTCGTCTGTGGGTTCTTAGTGAGTTGAATCGTCTATGGGGGACTGAATCTCAGAAAGTCGACTGAAGGACAAAGGCCCGACAGCTAGCAGTTATATAACGATCTCGCATCGAGGAGCTCTGCTTCAGCTACTGTGAATCGATGTCACATGGACTAACAGTGACGGGTCTACGAGGGCTCCAGGTGATGCGGCATGCTCAAGTCACTGCGCTTTGACGCCGAATTCCTTGATTTGGTCGATACAATGATAATGATTCAGTGATGCGAAGCTCTAGGCGTGACTGAGCTTCTTAGTCACGGTGCTCAAAACATGCCCCTTTGTTTGACCTGAAGAAATTGTCATCTTTATGTGATTTCTCATTAACACAATGATTTACTGTTCGCTAGACTTGTACCGAGGCCAAGTTATTCTCAGACGCCTTCTTGTGCTCCCAGAGGCCTGGTGAGTCATGAATATAGCAAAATCACAAGCACGACCTCTGCCCCCGATAAGTCAATGTAACCCCCAAGCCGCGCTATTTCGCCCCGGAGGAGCACTGCTCAGGTTCCGATGGGCTTAACAAAGGAATGGATGAGACTGTATGAGTGAGAGGTGGCTGTTTCTTACAGTTGGCCAGCCAGTGAAGTCGGCTGGAATGCCTCGAGCCCCCTGAGAATCAGAACCTAAACAAACCTGCCATTATCTCACCAGTACCTTAGGTAAATACATCAGACTACCTCCATTTGCCTTGCTTGCGTCCACCCCGTTACCACCTCATCAGCCGTGGCTGAGACTTCTTTGCTTTGCTATCACCCGAGTTTTTCTAACATGCCGTTACCAAAAGTGTTACAGATCAGTTACCTCCTTCTTCAATCCCCCAATTTGCCAGTCAGTCCAGAGTAGTAGGCATTGGACAAGCGATTCCGGCCGAGAGATGAAAGGGATCATCGGATTGTCGTGCTTTACTTGTTCCATTCTCCGCCATACTCACTTGTCCGGTGCTACGAGCAAGCCAATATTCCGGAGAAATTTGCTGCGGCTCTAAGAGAGACTTGGTTAATGCTAACATTGTACACTCGATGTTTATCTGTCCAAATACGACTCACCAATTGACCGCATATCCCAACGATCTTGCCACCTTCGGGGCGAATACGGACTGTTTCAAAGTCAAAACCCCGGTCGCTCGCGATATCTGAGATACCAGGAGGGACCTTGATTGATCGTCCACAGCTTGTATACATCTACATGAGAAGTTAGGTAGTTCAAAATGGGGTGAGAAACGCGTGTCCGATTTCTTACAATAATGCCACTCAACATTGTCTCTAAACCCCGATAGTAAATGGCATCCACACCAATAAGGTGTTCTCCACGTCGGCGATCCGGGGTGACTTTGGTCTTGGATCTTCTGCCACATCTTCTGGTGATGACAGTTCGATCGTTACACTGCTGGTCATAGTAGGCTCCCGAACCTAAAGTGTATGGATCGGGGCCTTGAGCCCTACGGGTTCCCCTCCCTTCGACTGGAAACGTGTAAGAAAACTGGATGTAGTTGATTCTCGTGTATTCGGTATTCGTGTATGAGTGGAGTCTCGACAAGCTGATTGCCCAATCCTCAGCTTTAGTAGTGCTGAAAACGATATCCGTGAGTTCTGGTAGTTTCTGGCCATCAACCCCGCCAAAAAGACAACTTTGAAAAGCATCCCACTCTACGTTCCACAGGCTCCGATCTTCGAGACCAACCATGCGCAGTGATGAGTCGGGAAGTTGTGGGAACCAGATGCCTGGCAACCAAGTGTCACTACCACCATGATCTTTGCCATGATCTTTGCCATGGCCTTTGTCATGGTCTTTGCCGTGGTCTTTGCCGTGGTCTTTGCCATGATCTTTGCCTGATGTGCGTGAGAGAAAAAGAGAATATAGTTTAACCGCAATAGAAACTGCCAGGGCCCAAAAGCTCAACACAATGTTGCCTGATATAGATGTGTTTGTGTTCATGTCCTGGGAGTCCTGGTCGGAAATGGAAATAACATCCTGCGAGTCCTGGTTGGAAATGGAAACAACATCCTGCGAGTCCTGGTTGGAAATGGAAACAACATCCTGCGAGTCTTGGTTGGAAATGGAAACAATATCTTGCGAGTCTTGATCAATATCGTGCGAGTCTTGATTGGAAATGGAAACAATGTCCTGCGAGTCTTGGTTGAAAAAAGAAAGAGATACAACGTGAAGTGCCTAATAACGTCAATAAAAAAACTCTCATGTGTGTGAAATGTTCATGATAGGGGAATACCAACATTCAAGCCGAGTTCCACTTTTTGGAGCGGCCCGGCGGGATGGACTATGACCTGCTTGGCTAAGTTTTCGTGATCGCCAATCCAGTCAGAAGGACCACCAGGAACGCAGTAGATTCGAATACCCCTCAGTGAGTGGGAGTCCAGAGCCAAATGGAAACCTCGGATAGCCCCCGGGACTCTTTTGGAGCCAGACCATGTAGCTGATTCCTTGTTTCTGTGATTGTCATACCCAACCTGATACTTGGAACCGAAGGTAAGGCCAGAAAGAAAATTACCGCCATGAAGAGAGACAAGGGATACAGACACCTCAATGACAGCCTCTCCAGTTGGGATGGATATGGCATCTTCAAACAGCTGGCGGGAGCCGCCTGTCTCGATGTCGAGCGAAACCAGGTCACTGTACGCACTCCGCCATCTCCCGCCTTCAGGGTCGATGTTGAACGGAACCAGGTCACTGTGCGCACTCAACCATCCCCCGCCTTCTCTGTACGTATGCCCAGCTCCGCTTGCGATCCTTGTCACTTGAGGGCAGCAACGTTGGAAAGAAAGCCTGAGTTCAACCAGGCGGCTGAGGTATTCGCCCAATTTCCAGACCCTTTTGCGAGCATGCAACATATATGCGTCGGGCTCTTTGTATTCGTTTATGGCCTTGCGACATCTGTGATACCGCATAGCCTTCTCGTACTTCTCAGCCCATGTTTTCGGCTCGAGCCAGCAAGACGCAAATGAGTAAAGATAGGAGAATTCGTTGCCGTTTAGGAACCTTGAACGCCAGAAGCGTTCGGGTAAGTCTAAAGTTGCAAAAGTCTTTGAAGCCAGGCGAAGGTTTTTGATATCATTTGATGGTGTCGAAACAAGGATATCAATCAGTAGCTCGTATGGAAGAAGCTGAAAAGGATCACGAGTGTCTTGAGACAGCAACCTTAGGAGTGGACCGGGACTCAGAGCAGGTGCAGGGTTGTCGGGTAGGTCTGTATAAGGTGGCTGTTCGTCTTCCCTCCTGTGACGAATGTATTGAGTATACGGATTAAAGCGAGAATCAACTCGCGATGTAACTTCTGTCGGAGGGAATTCTCCTGTGAATCTGAAGCGTTGCAGATATTCATTTTCAATCGGGCTTACTCCCTCCAAGACATCCCCGGTAGCTTCAAGGGTGTAGGTTACACCTGGGCAGCGGACTTTTCCTGGCCACTGAAAGGCGTTTGAATAATTACGCTTCAAGCGCCCGCCGTATTGGTGAAGCCAATCCACGGTTGAGCTCACATTGGGTTGTGATGTGCATAAGTCAAATAAGGCCCGAATATGATCTTGGTCGCCCATCTGGTCATCGATCTCGCACAAGAGTCTCCAGCAGTCGGCATGAATGGCAAATCCCCACAAATGAAGACTTGGAAAATCGGAGGATACGGTCGGTGAGACTCTGTATTTGACGAATCTTTCCTCGAAGATATGGTCGGATACATCGATGTCGAACTCGTCTTCCCGTGGTATGAAAAGGACACCATGTTTGATACGTCGGGGGGTTAGTTGACTGATGTCTGCAACCGAAGACAATTTCGGGCTGTCCCAATCATCCGTGGCGGCGTACACTGTAATGCAGGTCAGGGAAAGCAAAGGCCGGGAGATGATGGAAGGCTAATCTTACAAGCTCGATAGGTGCTCTTGAATTTGCTTCCAAGAATACCCGAGAGGATTTCGTACCCGCATAGCAGGCAGCGGCAGTGCAGCGCATCCATCGGCGGTGGATTCGTTTGCTTAGAAACCGTCGCTGAATGATAGCATCAGCGGACACGTTGATACTTGACTAGCAATCACAGTAGGTTTGGTCGCAGGCAAAGACATACCGGTGGCGTGGAGTTTTCAGCAAGGTTTGTGTTGTAGACGCGGACGCCGTTCAGAGAAATCGTTAGCTAGCTACAGCGGTTTTCTTGCAGCTTGCTCACGGTGGGACATGACGATGGTGAAGTGAGAAGGTTTGATAGGCACCCAGCTAGTGAGTGACGGGTGAAAGTTGGGGGCTGGTGGGAAGATGAGACCAGGTTGAAGTTGCGGCGAGGTTGAAGAAGGGAGGAGTGCCGGCCGCTGGCAGAGGGAAGGAGCCCTCACCTGCCGCTCAACCACAATCCCGCCTGGTCGCTCACTGAACTGCACACCACGCTGCACTGTGTTGATGGCTGCACACTGCACACTCCCTACCACTTAGGTACTTACTACTCACTGTTTGACTGTGTTCTGCAGCCTCGTGCAAGTGCAGACCCGTAATTAGCACCAATCATCGATGCCGAAATCCTTGAGGTCAGTCTTTTCCTCTCGCAGACCATCGCAGCGCCCAATCCACCCGAGCGACCGACATGAAACATGGCACATCTAGACAGTTCAGCGCTGAATTTCAACACAATATCAGAATAATTGACCTAGTAATAAACACCATATCAAGCTAAATTCTGTAGAATAATTAACTATTCATTTGCTATTGTGGTCCGTTAGCTGCCGTACGCGAAAAGAGCTTTGGCGTGCCATGTTTGATTTCTCCTACTTGCCACCTCAAACCCATGCGCACACCACAAAGGACCCCGCACCTGCAATCACGCAAGACTGTCGAGCCCCAGCATCCACAGAGAAGACGGACTACGCACAGCGTGAGAATGCCGACCCGACTCACGGAAATCTTCACACGCGAACAGGTTACGGAGGGCTTGAGGACGCCTCCCAGCTCTTCAGCGAGAACTACGGAGTCTGGGGCCAGCCGCCGCCGCCTCCCGATGGGCGCTCATTTGGCAAGCCGGGTGAGTGACTGCTTCGAGACCCTGTCTTAGTACGTATGTACTTTCAACTCACGAGCAAGAGCAGGCAGTCGCGTGAAGATGAGCGCATCCCGCCTAAGGGCCCAGTGCCTCCCCGAAGCGTCACGAAGCTCCTACGCGAGAGTCACTGTCGATGGAACCTTGGCAGGCCACGCCTTTGCTTGCCGCTGGCAACATGGTGATCGCCAGGTGTGCTGGATCACCCAGCTCGTCGTCCATCGCGACTATCGGGAGCGGCGCCTCGCCACCACCCTGCTTCTGGCCCTCCTCGACAGTGACGACGACATATTTGGCATCATGAGCTCTCATCCGGCTGCCTGCAAGGCTCTCTCAAGAGCCTTTGGAAGTGAGTTTTTGATTCCCGCTGGTTTGAGTCAAAAACCTGATCTAACCAGACCAGATTTCGTATTCCCCCAAGTCCCGTTGGACTTTGCCAGGCAGCATGCCGCGGGCGTCATGGCTGCATCTCCGGTCAGCTATGTCAAGAATGCTAGGCTCTGTGGGAACCTCTTCAACTCGGGGGACGCAAGTGGACTCAAGTGTGGGGTGGATTCGAACTTCTTCGTTGACCACGCCGAGCCCCTGGATGCTCTATCGCGGGTTAAGGATCTGGGGGGATGGCCACTGGGCGATTTGCCCGACGGGCATGAATTCTTGCTTGTGTTTGACGTGGCACGGCGGAGAAGACCACGATTCTCGCAGCTTGCGGTCCAGTAGAGGTCTCAATCATGTTAATGCTAGCCTCGGTATACGGAAGAGAAAGAGAATAAAGTTCAACAGCAATGAAAGCTGCCAGGGCCCAACAACTCAACTCAATGAATACGAAATCTTGAAATATAGCCTTTCCTAGTCCGCCCAAGATGCAGTCACATGGCAGGAAAATTCCATGAACCTTCGTACGGATGACTCACTTGCCGTCAGGACAGTGGCTCGTCGAATGACTATTAAAGATGTCCTCTTTCACCTGGCTAGGAAGCTGTGACGGCACTGGCAAATATAGACAAAAGACAGATCCAATGAATACCTGGCAAACGCCGAACCACCACATATCACCAGCAGCAGATTAGTGTACCCGGAACGATAGCAATGTGAAGCAATGTATCAATAAACTACAACACATCAGTTCCTAAACTTTCCACTTTTTTGGTCCGTTGGTCGCACTGGATATCATCATGTCTCTAACCACCCTGTAAAAGCAGGCAGATTGTCCATCTGAGAACGATATTCTATGCGCATGCTGTCAATGTGACTGGTCCTACACAAATGTGACGAGGAATGAAAAGGGCCAAACGGTAAGATAAATGAGGACTTGCAACCTATGTGAACTCTCTAACAGGCAGTGCGGCCTCTACCAAAAGCTAAATAGAACTAACGGTAGTCTCGTTGCTAACTATCATCTAGGGGGCTAGAGGGAGACATGAGCGTTGTAAGTCAAATTAGGGAAGGGATGTCAAATCATGCTATCGTCCAAATTAATCCGCAAATAACCATTATATAGGCAGACAAAGGATAACATGCCAAAGAATGCCAATGATGAAAGTGCCAAACAAGTACCCACGCATTGATCTCTCAGACGGAATAAACATAGCTGTCGTTCCAACTGCAAACCCAAACCAGCTCATCCGCCCAAGACAATTCCATCCAAGTATTGAACATAGCTGGCGAGTCTTGCGGGAAAAAGGCCAAATCGGCAATAAGACATCGAGACTCATCCTGGAGAAAGTTCAAGAACAACGCTGGAGACTTCCCGGGTACAGAGAGAGGCCTCTCCGCCCAATCCATGCGAAAGCTACCGACGCTTTTCTCTGAAGAGTCTTCATAACGTAGTAGTAACCCACACACACGAGGGTACAGTCCTACTGCTCTTGACCTGCAGATGACTATTTCTAAAAGACCACTTAGGCTGGCCGACGACTGAAATAGCTCCTTGTCCTGGAGGCGGTCTGGAAGAGGATTCGGGAGGATAGGGGGAAGGGGTTTGAAGGGATTGAAATATCGCGAGCGATTCAGCCCTCCATGCTGTGGCCCAATGACAAATCCACTTGTGCCTCCTTCGAAACGAGGAGATTCCATCCATAGTGTGTCAGTGTCGAAATCTGAGAATGTTGCTATGGAGTCCCATCCCCACGTGTTCTTCCACGTAATTGTCTCCCCTGGGCTTATTTTTTCTGCGTAAGGTCCGACAATTAAGTCCCGCTTTTTGCTTGTTCGAAACTGTGGGAGAAATATGGGTTAGAATCTCCATCGAGTAGATCGGGGACAGTCAGAATGGGCACTTACAGCCATAGTAAATCGGTGTGGAGGACACTTGTTTCGATTGTACAACAAGCTAAGCTCCGTGAGACGCTCTCCCTTGACTTTTGGAGCATATTCCCAGACGTATTTGTTAGTGTAGCGTGTCACGTCCTCATAAAAAGAAAAGGTTTCACCTGGCTGGTGTGCGTGGATATATACCAACCCCGCCCCTGTCTTTCGCTCACTTTTCCAGTTGGGTATTTTGACCCAGCAGACCGAGTATCCGGTGCATATAGGCTGATTGATGGGTATAGATACCATGTTGATTATTGCCCTAGGGGCGAGGGAGGGATAAAAGAACAGTTGGTCAATGTCTTGAGGAGAAATAGGTTTGGACCATAGGCAATTATCAGGAGAGACCGGTCGACCTAAGCCCAACGGCTGTTTTCCTCCCGGGCTGTAATGAAGTTTGAGCGACTGGGAGATTAACATTAGATCCGGAACCGTACGAAGACTGTTATGGTGAGGAACTTACATCGGTGGCGAAGGAAATCTTCTCTCCCACCTCCATCGGCACAACCCGCCACCACGCAGATATCCCAGCTTTGTGTGCCGGGGGCTGTGCTGAGGATATTATCTCTCGAATCCCTAAATGGTCCTCGAGAATGTACAAGGGGTGCTCGAAGGCCATATCGCGCGCTTGGAGAGCCAACTTGGCTCCATGGCCTCGCTTGTTTGCGAGCTTTGACACATAAGAGATGCCATCAATTTTGGCATAGGTTGCCCAAATATCCTTGGCCGTGCTCACTTCAGTACTGTCGCGAAATGGCAAACCCAGCATTGAGCAAATGGCAAATTCGGAGACCAAATAATCGGAAATTGACTTCCAAATGTCCAGAGGCAAAGAAACGCGCGATTTGAAGCGTTTGGAAAGTTGCATGGCTAGCTGACTTCGGATATGAAGCAGCCTGCGCTTCTCTTCGGAGGCTGGAGGTTCATAGGTGTATAGACTAGCGGCAAAGAGTCTGCTCATGGGCTTTCCCTTGTTGGGATGCAATAAGAGCTTCGCCTTCATGAACATCTCTTTCGCATGCGAGTCAAATCTTTGTCTCTTGCTGTTGATATTGACCACCTGTAGCTTGTTACTGATATCGGTCACCTGTTGCTTCTTTGGGCTGTAGACTAGGAATAGGTCGGACTTATATGCGGCCTTTGTCACGGTAGTGCCTGATAATGGCAATTCATGATGGAATTCCGTGAGGTTAGTAGATATTTCGGCCTCGCGTACTGCATGCCTGGGGTCAAGCTTGTTGGCAAAATGGAGACATGTGAGATGACAGCCGGTGCCAAGGTGGTGGTCGCCGTTTGCTTTATCTGCGGAGGAGGTGCACACAATTTCTGCGTTTAGAGCCTTATCCATATGCGAGTCATGGTAGGCGTAAAGGAATGGCTTCGAATGTTTGTTATTGAGTGTAACTAGGATTTCTGAGATTAGCAAGTGCTGGGGATCACCACCGAGGAGTGTATCACGCAACTCACCCACGACAACCACGTCGTCTTCTTGAAACTTGAAGCGACATAGCCGGCAATGAGGGAAGACAAGGAGGGTTTTTGTCTCGCGTAGCCATCCTTCTATGTAGAACGGAGGCATATTTTCCTTGGTTTCCTCCCCGGAAAGAGAAGAAACGCCAACCGATGATGGCGGCGGAGCGGGGCCTGAAATTGAGGACTGGGAGAACATGATGACAGGATGACAGTTGAATTTGCAGGTACAAATATCCAGGTCCAGGCCTCAAGAGTAATGGCGAGTTCGTCTTTCACTGCAAGTGACAGAGCACTCGGAGTTGTGGTGGTGAAAGCATTGATTTGTTGAAGTTGGACTGGCGAACTTGGCCAGGTGAGGACACTTTGAGTTGAGCAGGTGCAGCCAGCTGCCTGGTTCCCAAGGAAGGCGCTGCCCACGTAACAACATTCACGCACAGGCCACTCTAGTTCGGAAACTGTTGTTGCAGAAAGCCTGAGCAATTCACAGCCTACCTACCTACTGGGCGTGAACTACCTACCTGCTTAACTGTGAAATGTTTCTGGGTGGTGACGTGATCACCCACCGCATGAGGTAGGGCGAAGCCCAAAATTTGACATCGTAGCAATGCCTGCCTTATCTGTCAGTTCCCCCTACATTTCTTTCTGTATTGGTCCCCTGATATGAGTAGTGGGAGGGTCTTTGCTACTTGGTTGTGATCAACAAGCAACTACGCCTGATGCATCCATATCGCCTGAGTCATCTACTTCGGGATGCCCCCGAAGAGAAGGAATCCGGCCTATATAGCTCCCGAGTCAGTAGAAATTTAATAAGGGTGCATCTTCATAGACACTGCCTCATACTAAGATGAGCTTGCTCGAAATTATGCTGACCCCCGCTGGACTTTGTACTTGGTATCCTCAACTCCCGCCATGTGCGAAAGATATTGCGGACTGCCAACTCGGCCCCATGGGGGAGAGCTACCAAATAATCGACTTGCATGGAGTCCCTCGGGGGCGTCCCTCGATATCTCGGTGTCCTCTTGTCTCCTATCATCTCCGTGGAGGAGAATGCCTCGAGAACGCAACAGCATGCGGCCATACCTGGCACTTGGCAACTCATATTTCAAATGAACCCACTCCCAATAGATTGTCTGAGTATGTTTGTCCCTTCAGCTCAGTCCTCTAGTTATTTTGCAACAGGTTCTGAACAAACTCCTTACTCTAGCAACAATGATCCAAACAAACCCCAAACCAGAGAAAATGGAGCGCGGTCTCACGCCAACCCAGTCTCGTGATGGCGTGAGAAAAGACTTGCCGCAGAACGAGCTCCGCCGAGATTTCAAGCCCCGACAAGTCTTCATGTTTTCTATCGCTTGCGCCCATTGGAACAGGAATGGTGATCGGTTCAGGAACTGCACTTTGTCGGGGAGGTCCAGGAAGTCTCTCGATCAGCTGCCTTGCTCTTGGCACCGTGGGCTTCTTTGTCATGACAACTCTAGGAGAAATGTCGGCGTTTCTGCCCATAAACAAAGGCTTTGGTGGCTATGCTACTCGGATTGTTGATCCAGCTTTCGGGTACGAATTGTCTTGCACAGGCCGCGAGAAGGCTTAGGCCTATGCACTTGAACGTTTGCTATCGGATGGAACTACTTCTTCAAGTACATCATCGCAATGCCTGCCACCCTTACTGCTGCTGGCCTTGTCATTCGATACTGAGCGCCTGATCTAGATGTTAGGTTCTGGATCGCGGTGTTCAGGTTTGTATCAATGCGAGTCTCACTGCTACCAGATGATCCTATCGGTCCAGCTAAATTGATAGGCTTCTTCCACATCACTGCGTTCAGAAAAACATTGAAGTCATAGTTATGTGCATCCTGATAACTCCCGTGACTACCGGCAGTCACCTTACCTTCTGGCACATAGCTTCCGGGCTAAGCTGGCCAAGCGCGTCTGGCGAGGAAGAGATGCTCTTATCCTCGGACTTGGGTAGGGAGCACTGAAGGCATCAAGGTCGTTCCCAATAACATTATCCGCAAAGATGCGAGACTGGACTTGATCTACCATGGCGAGCGACGAATTCCCTATGATTGTGTCTTGATTGAGGATGCGTCGGTGATTATTGAGGAGGCACAACGGCATTGCTACGTGAGCTACACAGTGACGGTATTCTACCCCGAGCCAGCATTGGCGATATCCCTCCCTCAATGTAAAAAGGCCTAGCCGAAGTTCATGATCAACGAAGGATTGCCACGCACTCCTTGAGCAGACCGATCTCCTTCTCCAGCCTAGATCTCTGCCTCTTCGCATTCTGCTCCTCACCGACAACCTCATCGAGCTGTGCATGAGTCAATCCCGTGACAAATCGGGGTGAAAAGAGCTTCAGGGGCGTGTCTGGACCGGTCACGAGAAAGTGATCAACAGCCTACATGCGCACGTTATCCACAAAGCGCTTGCGGGCAAGCTCATAGTATGACTTGAGAATGTCATGGATCTCTTGCACGACCTGCTCATTGTTGCTCAGCGGGTGTGTCTGGACAATATCATCCAGCCGGACAACTGGTCCAAGGTACTCATTCTTGAGGACTTGAGATTCTAGCTGGCGCTTCACTCGCTCGGCGCGGCTATGACTGTCAGCGTTGAGCTAAGAGTGCAATGAATCAAAGTGCTTACCATTTGTTCAGAACCTCAGTAAATGCATGGTTGTACGTGGCCGGGGTCCCCTCCAGTTCGATCTTGAGTAGGAAGTCTGTCTGTTCCATGGCTCGGAGGTACTTGGCTTCAAGATCTCCGACAGAACTGACATCAGATTTCCCAGAAGGTTCTTATCCGGGACAACATGGTTCAGAAGATCCAAGACGAGGGTGTGAACGATCGCAATCATGTCGCTAATGTAGCCCTTGGCTAGAGCCTTCCATTTCCTAGCCTGGTGCTGCATTGTCATGATCAAAAGGGTGCAATCAAACGACCCAAGTTCGAAGCCGCGGTTCTTGCGGTGTACGCCCGTGAGCCACTCAAGGATGTTGTCACTGCGAGGAGATTCAATATTCTCTGCCTCTGTGACGTAGTCAACCACGTCTTCATCCTCTGTAACTAGCCTGGTAGACTTGCGGGAGGTTCCAGAATCAAATGGCTCATCATCGGAGCTAGGAGTCTCGCACCCGTCCTCATCTGAACTGTCGCGGCCTCCGTCTTCATCATCTCTGCCGTTCTCTTCGTCCGCAAAGTGAAACTCGTGTTCCATGTTGGCCATCACCTGGGAAAATATCTCGCCTCTGTTGACGGCTACAGTTGCCAGGCGCCGGCGTGCGACTTCTCCAAAGAAGTCGGACTGGACGTACTGGGCCCGAGACGCAGAGTTGGCGAGATCCTGAAATTCGGATGCGATGTCGGTCAAAAACTGACTTTGCTCTTGTGCAGTTTGGCGCTTCGGCCCCAACACACGAAGCGCCTTCTCAGCTTCCTGCAGCTTCTTCCTGATATCAACTTTGACCTAATTGCTACTGTCAGAATATTCACTTTTCGATTTTGCAGGGCGGTTGCTCTTACCTTGGGGAATTCGCGTCGAATATGATCGGTGAGGATTTTCTGGAGCCGCATCCTCAGTGCTACCACGCCGACCTTGGCCTTGTCGATCGTGTTCCATGGAGCCTTAGTCTTAAAAAACTTGTCTTCCAGACTTCCCCGAGAAGTTGGCATGACCTTGAGCTCCTTTTGTCCCAGATTCCGGACAAGGTGCCATCCCAGCTTCAAGCGGTGCGATTTTCCGTTCATCACATTGAGGATCCCTCCTTCTGCACCATCGTCTACTAAGTCAGGCTTGGTCAAGACACCAAGGGTCCTGTTCCCATATGGATCAAGGTCATCTGCCAGCTGCACCACATCCTCATTCGCAATATCCGACGTGCATGGTACCACTGTCAGCATCACAGACCTTGGATTTTCCATGTACCCTTTGACCATTTCAAAAACGAGAGGGATATCGCTTGTCGTGGTCTGCCCTTCGGTGATCTTCTTGAATACCCCCGGCACGTCAATCACACTGAAATGCTCCTGATTAGGGCCCGCGATCTCTAGAACAAGGACAGCTTTGGAGAAGGCTGGAGAGCCCGGTTCGGATGTTGGTCCCACTCCCATCAAATCAATAACCTGCATAGAGTTGGTACATGAGAAGAATAAACAAGATCCGGGTCAAAAGATTACATACCTCTCGCATGATGGCGGCGAATGACTTGGCGTCTAGGATGTCGAGCTCTTTTTTGCCCCAGCTCTGCATAGACCTTCGATGCTTGTCAGAGCAGTCCTTGGAGGGAATGATGGAAGCCGAAATCTTGGATTCATTGGAGCGGCGGAAGGTGATTTGTGTGGCAAATCGAGTGCAGAGACCATTATCGCGGGGAAACGGGAGCCCAGTCAGTCCTTCAAGGACTGAACTCTTGCCGCTTGACTGCTGTCCTACGACGACGAGCTGGGGCAGATCAATATAGTCGCCTGCTTTGCAGGCGAACAGCCGATCAATCTTCTCAAGGAGAGAAGAATCAACCAAGTTGAACGAAGGGAGCTTCTCGCCAATCGGCAACTTGACATCGACGGGATCGTTCTCGTCCATTTTCAATCGCCGTGTCGTGTACGTGACGGAGGTAAAGAAGTAAATCGACTCCAATAATGGGTTTGGCTTGAATGTGTTCAGCACGATGAGGGGGTGGGCGATCCCGAGAGTGTGAGGATGGGATGGAGAGAAAAAACAGAACTCTCGCTTCGATCGGAGGGGAGTTTTGTAGCGAGTTCTGAGAGGGCGTGGGCTGCCTGAAGACGAGTGTGTGCGGTCAGCCAGGCTTTCTCACTTCGTTCTCACTTTTCTTCGTCACCTCAGCCTCACCTTTTCGCGCCTTCGTTTGCCAAGCCAACAGCCGTCGGACGAGCGCTTACACAGCCTACTTGCAATCATCGTTGCGGTAGAGGAGCAGCCCAATCACTCCCTGCAATAACAAAGTTTGGCTTTTGTTTCCGCAGACGAATTGCTCGATCGTGGCTAGCTTGGGCCTGTGTTGGTCGCAGCCGGGCTGAGCAAGCTGAAACGCGATGCCTGCAAAAGCGCTTAAGTGCCGTCTTGCCAATCAAAAATGACCACCACCCAAGCGCAAAAGCCAGCAGTGATTCCGTGGCAAGCATCGAGCCGTTGGTTGAACACGCCTTTTATAGCTAGTGTTGGTAAGCCTGCCTCCACTCCGTTAGATGCCCATCCTCGCCGTGGAGATCCCTTTGAAGCAGAAGGTGCCGCGATTTGAGCAACTCTCGGAAGAGGCCCATGGCGGATAGGGAAAATGATGTTTGATCCATTGCCTTACAGCGAGTGTTGTTCTTTCGAAATGGACTTGGGGAGCGGCAACACTGGACCAAACCACTCGCTTGATTCCACAAGTACCCAAGTACCTGACGTCAGAGGAGTAAGGTGGTGATGATGAGGAAGGAACCACCAACACCTGATGATCGAGTTCATCGCGTTATCACAATCAATTAATCCCTAGGTAGGCAAGACAATCGCACTTTAGGTATGTCGATATCCAAGATGACGGACACGAAGCAAGTCATTGAGGATTTGCTGAAATAATTCTAGAGGAAGAGATAATTAGCAATGGGTTATAGGGTATGCCGGTAGCTATGAAGACGACAGCGAACCCCCAATAACTCTCACCACCTTAAAGGGCGACATGCATATCATGTTTATGCGCTTGCGTCTTGGTCACCACAACCGAGGTATTAATCGGATCGTGACAAAAAGAACAAGAACCTGCTGCCACATTGCAATGTTCTACGTGGCTTAGAATGGCAAAAATCGACGCCTGCAAGATTCGAACTTGCGCTCCCGAAGGAAATGGCTTAGCAGGCCATCGCGTTAACCACTCCGCCAAAGCGCCGCCGATTTATGATAGAATTGAGCTAAGAGAAGTACATAATCTTGCGCTCGTCGACACTCCTCACCCGCCTCTCTTTCTTCTGTCTCGAAAAGGATTAATGAATTGAAAGAATATGTCGCGGTGGAACAATATTTCACCTGCCGCAGAAGCCCTCAGCCCATTGCTCCAATATTTCCGAATGAACTGCAAGATTGCCAAACTTCATCGGGATCTTAATTGGCAGCTGTTGCCTGCCTAGCCTACCTACTTAGGTACCTAGGTAGGTAGGCTTTGGTTCAGCCCCTCTGAATCCGGGCTGGATATTCCACAGATGTCAGGCAACATGCGCTTTCCTAAGGTGATGTCCTACATACAATTGGGGGTAGTTCCCCCGATACGGTTCTTAGCTTCGTGCATTATTGGTATCACCTCCACCACACAATGGTGACGATGAGAGATGGATCAGTATCGCGCGTGGCACACTTGGCTCCCATATGGGAACCCAAATTCTGTTCACTGTGAGTACATATACATAATTTGGCTACTTGATTATCAATCGGCGGCGCTTTGGCGGAGTGGTTAACGCGATGGCCTGCTAAGCCATTTCCTTCGGGAGCGCAAGTTCGAATCTTGCAGGCGTCGATTTACTTTTTGCCAGTTTTTCATCTACTTACTCTCTCCATTCTCTTCTGTCCTCCAATTCTCATCAGATCAATACCAAGTCATGCTCATTTGTTTTGGATCGTGGCCGACCAACATCCGGCCATCTACCAAGATGTAGGTGTGGCTAACCTCAACACGCCACACATGTGCCAGGATCCGGCAGCGTAGCCACCGTTAATTCCATCAAAGGCTCCAAGCGAAATACAAGCACCAGCCGCAAGTATGGACAGTCATCTATCCGACGCGCAATTAAAAGAGTTTACATATGAGGCACAGTTTGATGACCACACTCTAGACGAGAACTTGGCCCCAGTTGAACCTCTGCCACCCATCAATTGCCGCGCAGGCACAGCAAATATCGGCACTCTCAGCCGCCTAACACCAGAGTGTCTACGTATTATATTCAACCAGCTCAACCTCGACGCAATAGTCAACTTTCAATCCACGAGCCACGGCTCACTAGCCTTCGTCACTTCCCTACCCACCTACGGCGTCATCAGCAGGCACGCGCGAAATACCATCCGCGGCGCCAGGATCATCGGTACAAGCCATCGCACGACGTGCACCGAGCTCTACCGCAAGCTCTGCCAGCCCACGTGCGACCAGTGCGGCGACGAGTTCGGCGGCTACATCTACCTCGTCACCTTCAGACGACTCTGCCTGCTATGCGTCTCGACGCACCTGTCGTTCCTGCCTCTGGGGCGGCAGTGGGCGTGCCGCTACTTCGGGCTCGACAGCAGCACCGTGAACTCTCTGCCGCGGCTGCTGACCCTGGGCGGGAGGTACTCGCCGGAGAAGGAAAAGCTGCAGAACAAACAGATCCTGGTCGACTACGACGCCGCTCGCGAGGCGGGCATCGCGCGGCACGGCTCCCGGGAGGGGATGGAGGCGTACGTCGCGGCCGCCCGGGGGCGAGCTGGCCGGCGCAGGGGACCTCCTGATGGGAAGGCCGGCAACCCGCTGCGCTTCGCGGCCGTGGTCCGGTTGCCCTGGTACGACGAGGCTTCTGGCGAGCTGGAATGGGGCTTCCACTGCAGAGGGTGCGAGAAGTCGGAGCAGCGGTCAGCCCTCTGCCGGAAGAAGTTCAACGTGGCGTCCTTTCGCAGGCATATTCAGACGTATGGGCCGGTACAAGATGGAGAGCACAGGAAGTGCATTACAGCTACGTGTTAGATTTTGCATATCAACCGGGACACAGTAGAAGGCAAATACCTAGGTAAGTCATTGAAACTCAATTGAATTAATCATAACTAGTAAATATCAAACCGATCTGAATAGAATCTTACCGCATTGATGACGAGTCGTCACAAGCAGGTAGTACAAAAACCGCTTTTAATTTCCCCCCTCCCCTTCCCTTGTTAAGCATTGCGCTCAAAGGTTAGAGGAGTCTCTTATTCAACAGTAGGCGACGAGCCCTGAGCGACAGTGACGGGCGAGGCCAAGGTAAGGGTGACGGGAGAGCCGTTGAGGGTAACCCACTCAATGGGGGGCTCAGTACCGACCTTGTCATTGGAGGTAGATCCACCAGAGGCAGAGGCAGAGCCCGAGGGGAGGGTGACTGGAACGGGTCTGCTGCAGGAGTTGCCATTGGCGGTGACGATGACTTTGTTGATCGCCTTGCCATCGTCCGAGTAGCCATAGGCCAGCTGGGGGTTGCAGTCGTCAACGGCCTTACGGTCACGGAAGTACTCAGCGACGAGATCTTGCGTCATGGAGATGACGGGCCAGTTGGTGAGACGCATGAGCTCCTGGAGGACGGTCTCGGTCCAGGCAGTAACGAGAGACATCTGGCCGGTCTGGTCACCAATGGTGATGCTCTCGACGCCAGTGTAGTACATGTTAGCCTGGTGGAACATGTAGGGGTCAGACTGGAGGGCCAAAAGATTACGCATAACAGCCTCCTTCTCGACACGGAGAAGCTCGTTAAAGTCGCCAGTACCTGCAGAGGTATCCTGCCACTCCTTGAAGTTGCATGCGTGGGTGTGGCAGTTGTAGTAGATACGGGTGGCGTAGCGAGGGATGACAGTGACGCCGTCATAACCATTACGGTCAACATTGGTGATCAGAGGCCAGTAGGCGTTATCAGGGTTCCGGGTCATAGGACGGGTATTATCACCGACAGCGTTGTCAAGACCAGCATCCAGCCAGGCCTTCAGGGCATCAGCGTTATAGAGACCAGTGATCTGAGGTGGCACAAGACCCTTGCCAGAATAGTAGCGAGCCTGATCAATACCAATCTGCTTCAGCCAGTCCTGATTGAACTTAATCTCGCGATAAGCATCAGCATAGGTGATGTTATTTTGGTTGAGATGAGTAAATGTGTGCGAGATGTGGCTGAACTCATCGCGGTTGGCAGGGACGGCGAACCACTGGGTAAGGGGATCACGAGAGCTGAGGGTGCAGTTGGGCTGCCACTGATACTGCTGGGCCCAGGTTGGCCACTGGTCGACACCGGTGTTGATCGGCTTCTTGACCTCATGGGGAGGGTCAGGCAAGTACACGTAGTAGACAGCTTCCTCGGGAACGCAGACCAGGTCACCTCCGGCGCCAAGGGTAGCGTCCATGATGTTACCGTTACCGTTGTGGGCCATCTCCAGTCGGAAGCTAGAGCCAGGAGGAAGACGAGCGGCGAGATTCTTCTGCCAGGAGACGTGATGCTCGACATCGGCCACAGTAATCTTGGTCTCAACGGTAGGGGGCTCGTACATGCCAGTGGCCAGCATGACGTCGTCAATCTGAGCGAGGACATGAGTCTTGCGCTTGCCGAGGAAGAGACCTCGGGTCATCCAGTGGATGTGGCCATGCTGAAGGTAGCTGGAGGTCAGAGACCACTCAGGAGCCCAGCTCAGGAACCAGACGAATTGTTCACGACCGCTGAAGTTGTTGATGACAGCAGCGACGGTACCATCGACGAAGCCGCCGCCTGCGCCAAACTTGGCAACGACCTTGGTAGTAGCGACGTCGGTAACGGAAGCGGGAACGTGGTAAAGACCCTCGGTAGTGACACCGGCGTTGCTGAGACACTCTTGTTAGAACACAATATACCAACACAGGAAAAGAAGGCTACTTACACCTTGACATTAGCAGTAGCGAAGTCGCTGACATCAGAGAAGTAGACGGGCTGATTGACACCAGCGTTACAGCATCCACCACCGACGGGCACAGTGCCAGAGCCAGAGCCGGGGTACTCGTTGATGCGGACCATACGAACGTTGAAGTCAGTCTGGTAGTTGTGAATAGTCGTCCATTGCTCCGTAGTGATGGCGCTGCGCCAACCTTCGGGATACTCATAAGATATGGAGTCGAGAACAATGATACCACCATAGTTGCCGGCGGTACGGGAAGAGTTCAGGACAGGCAGCTGAGTACCGGCGGAAGGCACAAGGAGATTCTCGAAGGGGATACCGTATGCCAGGAGACCAAGGCTACCCAGCTTAGCGGTGACGAGATCTTTAGCAATGATGAGGACCTTGCTGTCAATAGTGGCAGAGGGGAGAGCAGATGTGGCGCTGACACTGCTGCTGGAGATTGGAGTGGTGCTAGAGATGGGGGTCGTGCTCGAAACAGGAGTGCTGCTGCTGATAGGAGTGGTGCTGGAGACGGGAGTGCTACTGGAGACGGGAGTTGTGCTTGAGACGGGAGTGCTGCTAGACACAGGGGTGCTCGACACTGGGGTGGAAGTAGCGCTACTCTCAGGGGTGCTGCTGGATACGGGAGTTGTGCTGGAAACAGGAGTGCTGCTGGACTCGGGAGTGCTGGTAGCTGAAGTGCTTGAGACCGGAGTGGAGGTAGCGCTGCTCTCAGGAGTGCTGCTGGCGACACTACTGGATGAGACAGGAGTAGAGCTGGCAGGAGTTGTAGTCGAGTCAACGGAACTGCTGCTGGGAGTGGTGCTCGAGACGTCAGAAGAGCTAACAGGAGTGGTGCTTTCAGAGCTGCTGCTAGGCGTGGTAGAAGCGGCAGTGGAGCTACCAGGGGTGCTGCTCTCGGAAGGAGTGCTTGAGACACCAGTAGAGCTCACAGGCGTAGTGCTCGAGACATCAGTAGAGCCGACGGGAGTTGTGCTCGAGATATCGGTAGAGCTGACCGGTGTTGTACTCGAGACATCGGTAGAGCTGACGGGTGTCGTGCTGGAGGCATCTGTAGAGCTGACGGGAGTTGTGCTCGAGACATCGGTAGAGCTGACAGGTGTAGTGCTATCAGAAGCAGTGCTGGAGGCAGCAGTAGAGCTCACAGGCGTAGTGCTATCAGAAGCGGTGCTGGAGACGGCAGTGGAGCTGACGGGGGTGCTGGAACCAGTTGAGGCAATGGGGGTAGAGCTGGGGTCGGAGCTCACAGCAGTGCTGGACTGCACATCGGTGCTGGAAGGAGTAGTGCTAGCCCCGGTCTGGGAACCAGAAGAGGCACTGGGGGTAGAGGAGACATCAGTCGATGCGGCACTAGTGGAAGAGACTGTTGAGGAGACAGGCGAGGTGGCACTGGACGAAACATCAGAGGCGGTAGAAGAAGCAGCAGTCGAGGAGACGTCCGAGGATGCGGGAGAGGAAGCAGCAGTCGAGGAAACATCATAGGAGACAGCCGAAGACGAAGCGGCAGTGGATGAAACACTAGACGAGACTGCCGAGGAAGAGGCAGTGGATAAAACACTAGACGAGACTGTCGAAGAAGCGGCAGTAGATGAAACGCCAGAAGAGACAGCCGAGGACGAGACGGTGCTCACGCTCGAAGTACTAGCAATGGTACTAGAGGCAGTGACACGGGTGACAGAGACATTGTCAATGTAGACACGAGCCAGACCACGTCGGTCGCAGACGACGGAGATGGTGAGAGTGCCCGTGGTGCCGGTGGGCCTCACCTTGCCGGAGAGCTCACCCCAGGGGCCGTTGCCAAAAGCAGCGGGGAATCGAGGAGTATCTGCAAAGTTGACGCCGTTGAACGAGGCACGGATGCGGCAGCTGTTGGCGGGGGTGGCGATCAGGACCCAGTAGAAGAACTTGACGGTGTAGTCGATGTTCGGGGTCAGGCGGCGGACAGTGGTGGAGAGAGTTGTGCCGACGATGGCCTGTCGCTTGTTGACGGATGTGGTGTCCTCCTCGTCATCCTCGCCCTCGGTCTCGAGCTCGACGGTGCCGTCTTTGGGAGTGTTGTCGTCAGAGTAGCCCTCGTTGGCAACCCAGGTACCTTTACCGGTGATGGTCCATTCATTGGTTCCGTCTGCGAAATCGGGGTTGGCGACCTTGATAATCTCGGTCGAGGATGGAGTCGCAGCAGATGTGGGTGTGCCGGTGGGAGTTCCAGTGGCGGAGATGGAGGTTGAAGGAGGTAGGGTGGAAGCGAGGCCGGTCGAGCGAACGCATCGGCGGCGAGTAGCAGAAGCCTCGCCACCCCCGATCAGGCCGAGGGCGGCGACGGCAACGGAAAGGATACGCATGGGGAATCGATCAAACCCTTGTTGGTAACAATGCAGAGCGATATTAGTAATTAAGATGGGAAAATAAGAGTGTGCAAGCGAGTGTAATGGAGTACTCTGAAGGGAGTCACTCCGTCTGATGCTGTCTTCCAACGACGGCTCTAACGAGTGGTAACCGACGTGAAGATGGAGAATGGGGATGAATCAAACATCCATCGTGGACCGAGGACAGGAGGATCGATCAGTATATATTTACACAGCAGAAGCCGGAGCTAGACTAGCTGCCTCCATTTTCCGCCTGCTGTCTGGCCCCATCCACGTTGGCTTGAACCTGCAAGAGAATGGACGTGTGTGGGCGGCAGCAGGGGGCGGGGGTGCGTGAAAGAAGAAAAACCTGCGGCAGAACAATGAGCCAGGTGTGTGTGAACTAACATCTGGGCTCTCGGACAAGCCCTTGGGCACATTTTTGGTGTGACAAATGCAGGCTGTGCCCATTAGCAGGTCAATGGCCAAGCCATCTAGCCCGGACTATCTGCTCGGGGACGGAGAGGAGGGACGGCTGAAATTGTCTGACCGGACGGGCTACTGGCTAGTCTGCCGCTCATCACCAGCGTACCTGAAGCTGAGCGTGCACACAGCATCTGCTAGCCTCTTTGTTAAGCTTATGCGGGAGACCGGGGAGTCACCGTGGCCCCTGGGCAGTCTGGATCGAGCGTAGCCCAGACCGTCGTGGCGGGCTCCATGGCCCTCAGCTGGTGCGATGCTTAAATGAAGCTTAATGCAGTCAGAGCAATAGCTTATGGCGACAGGCCAGCGCACAGCGAGCATAAGTCTCGTGCACCCTGCGCCAAGTTGGGTGGTTGGATGGGTGCAGTTCGTCTGCCAGAGAGCCAATCCGCCTGCACCAACGTTAGCAGACAACGGTCCGTGTCGGCCCAGCACAATGCTCAACTGCTCGCCTTTCGAAAGAAAATTTTGAGTTCGGGCGTGCTGCGGTGCGTGCCACCAGTGTCTGGTCCCCTGCAGTAGTCAGGAACAGGATTGCAATACGTACCGACGCCTCGTCGCACCATCTGCGCTTGCACCATTGAGTAATCCGAATCATGGCCACTATCACCGCCAGCTTCAGCCACCAGGCACAGCTCATCCCCTCCATCACATCACCCCTCCTCAGGCTGGCGGAATGGCGGGGGAGGAATGCGTGCAGGCAGGCAGGCAAGCGAGCAGGTCGGTTTCTGAGACCTGCATCGGCCAGCTCTAGACCTGGCGCATGTGCCAATGCAATACAATCCGTCACATTCTGTCGCCATACGCTTGGCGAGCAGCATCTCGTATTCAACTGCGATTTAATTGTGGTGCGCCGCGTGGCGTTTTGGCTTGTGCTTGGCTGCGCTGTTTTCCCTCCAGCGCCTGTGACTGCTCACATTTTGCTTCAGCTGGCCCTCCACCTTCATTCAGGCCTCCCGCTAGCCAGCCAGCCAAGCTCCCAGCCAGATCTCGGCCACTGGCTGTCTGAGTCTGACACACTCACCAAGGGCTCATCCCGATCGGCAATGGTCGTTCAGGGGGGATCAAGCTTAATTCGTATAGGCTCGAGCCAAGCCCCGATGGCAGTCACTATTTGCGCCGTCTCCAATAGCGCAGCCACCTGTTACAGCTTCCACCGTCACCAAAGACCGACCAACGATGGTAGCCAAGGCGACTGGACTGGTCGTGCTCGAGCCCTCTTCCGACCGAGAGTCAGCTTCCGCTTGGCTGCATGTCGCACGGAGCACAGCACTCATCACGCGTCGGTGTGTGTCTCGTCTCTCCCACGTTTGCCCTGTGCCTTTGGTGAGGTTTTGCCGGCCGCCTCCATCCTTTCCCAAGCCCTAGGCCCTTATCATCGATTGATCCTCGTCTCACCGAGGGCCCGGTCAATGCTCTTTCGCCACATGGGTTAGGTTCGAAGGATTGCGGTTGATCCGCATCAGGGGTGGGCGTGAGGCATTCGGCAACCTCTGTCTCGTCATGTCTCTCCCGCTGCCCCTCTCATCTCCTCATTGCCATCACGCATCTGCAGTGCCCAACGGATTGGGCATGTACTTTGCACATCCCGCCGAGCTGAATCTGTTCCCTGCACAGTGGCTGCATGCTGAAACTCAATAACTATCTCAATACGAAGTGAAGTGTTGTTTTTTCCTGCCGCTAATTGCTCAGGCCAATTGAGCAACCTGGAAGTTGAGGTTGCAGATACCCGAGCTGGGAAGACCCTGCCCAACGCCCTTCGTGCTCTTCCCTCCCTCAATGATGACGCTTCCAGACGCATCCACGACCTGCACGACCTGCTCACCGACTTTGACGCCCGCCACAGACTTGTAGTTCAAGCCTGCATTCAGCGCATCCTTGGCAATCAGCTCGCCTCCGCTCCACACCTGGACGCTGTAGCCGCTTACCCCCTCCCCAAGCACAACTGCCCAGTTGACTCTGTCCTGCGCAGCTCCGTAGCCCCTAGGCGCTCCCAGAGAGTCTCCAGCGCACGATTCGGAGTCCAGAAGGAACTCGTGGTGCCACATAGCGCCAACAACATTGCTGCCCTCTGGCGGTCTCATTCCCGATGCATCCGCCCCGTTCTTGAATGCTGTGATGAACGACGCCACCAGGGGCTGCCACCCTCCATGGGGATGCTCCTCCTGGTTGGCGTACTTAAGCGTCTCTTCCAGCAGCCCCTCGGACCAGACTGGCCCAATATAGTGGCTTTCACCGGCATCATTCCATGTCTGGATCTGCACATAATCGGGCTTCGTGGACAGTGCGAGGATCTGGGCCATGCGCTCAGGCAACACCACGTCTCCAGCACGGAACCAGTGGTCCTGATTGTAGTGCTTGTACTGCAGCGACGACAGGCCCATCATGTACACTTTGCCCTGCGCGCGCGTGGCGCTGAGCACCCTCTCATCCACCTCACTTGTCATATTGGTCTGTGTGTCGCTCTGAGCTGGCCAAGCCTGCTCCCACGAGAACGAGCCGTCCAAAGTATCCTTCCAATAGTACCAAAACGCCTCCGGGTTCGTGTAGTACCCCTCGGCCTGATCAAAGTCCGGCACAAAATATGGCTTGGAGCTGAGAGAGCCTAAGAACGCCCCCCATTTATCAGAACCCCAGCTTCCGGGCTGGAAGGTGCTGAGCATCGGGGCTGAGCTAGGCCCGGCCGTATAGTAGTTGGGGTGCGAGAAGTACTTGTTGATCATGGTAGTGAACGCATACGGGTCTGGCTCGGCGTAGAGGTCGAGACTGAACAAGATCTTGAAGTTGGTGCCGGACGCTGCGGCGAAGAGCTGCTCGACGGTGCTCACGCACCAGTCTGCGTTGGGCATGCCCACATTGAGCACGAATGCATCGATTCCGAGGGCCAAAGCGGCCTGGACATCCTGCGCGGCGTGATCACCGTTCAATGTTTGGGCCTAGATTTATTTTTTGCTGCAGGTAAGCGATAGTCTGTTGAAATGGAGGGGAGTGCAGTTGGCGGACGCACCATGTAGTGCGCAAATACATCACCGGCCAGCGCCGTAGGTGTGAGGGCCGCGAGGGCGCTGATCGCAATATGGAGGCGCATTGTCAATAGGATTTCAGCTTTGGTTTTGCTTCTTCTGCTCTCAGAATGACAGATGCCTGGTGTGAGGCAATCGCTGAACGAGGTGACTAGACGAGGTCATCATCTACAATATATAGATGATGATGGGATTAACAGTCGCTCACGATCATTGTTGTAATCCATCTTCGCCCCAAAATAAAGTGCCCATCGCTTTCTCGGAAGCCGATGTCACGCTGACAGGAGGAGTGAATCATGCCACGAGGCCAGGGCCTAGTGTTTCAGATCCGAAGCATCGGGGAGAAGCACATGAATAGGAATGTGACCGACTGTCTAAATATATAACAATGTTAATTCTTGAATAAACTTCATAGCCATTGAACTGAAGCAGGCAGATAGCTCATTAGATGAACCATCGTGCAAGTCGCTGGAATTCGTCTTTTGGATCAGCAACTTACCGAGGCGAGGCACGATTGGACGCGCATCACGTCCACCGACTGATGATTGAGTAAAGCGGAACATGCCCACCAAAGGATGCGGGGCGTTTCCTTGCCCCATCCCTCTCATTTCAATGGCAAAAGAGAGCATGTCTCATTACAGCTCCTTCCTCAGAGAGGCAGCTCCTCGTGGCCTTGATACTGGAGATGTCTTCCTTGGCGGGGTTCGGTCCCAGGCCAATCCTCCTTTGCAATCAGCCAATTCCCAGAACTGAGCGGAGTGCGGGTCGGCAGACAGGCCTCAGGGTCGGCAGCCGGGAGCATTGCGGCAATTCGTTCTGCTCTCGCAGGGATGCAGGAACAAGGAGGTTCGCGCGCGGGCCGGTTATCAAGTGCCGAAAGGATCCGGCGTCTATCAATCGAGATTGTTCGTTTCCTTGAGCGGTAGGGCAGAGATTGGTTGTCTCAAGGTTCAGGGGCAAGTAGGAGCTACCCTATAATTCTGGCTCTCTCTGAGGACAACTGGTGAGGTATTAGAGAGAGAAATTCTCGAGATGAAATGAAGGATGAGAATAGCATGATTGTCACTTTCTCGGTTGCGTTAATTAGATGCTCTAGCTTGGTAAAGAAGGTGCACCCATGAGGGACCTGTTGCTCACCCCATCTTACTCTTACAGTAAAAGCAGACAGAGGAGGACAGCAGGTGCAATTGATCGCCAGACCAACGCCACGTTCAGCCTGTGATAAGCCACAGCGCCACAGTTCCGCAATGCACCCACGAACCTACCACGATGAATCACGTGGCACGATACCATATTGCTGCCTCGGTGCTGGGGTTTATCTTGACCTCTCTAAGGACAATGCGCATTGTAGTACCGTAGTTCCAATAGCGACAACTCCCTGGGAATTAGAACTTTCATCTCTTGACGTCTGGAATGGAAGAAGATGATATATCTTTGTGACAGGGTCCTCGTTTCCTACGACAGCAACTACGGATCGCACCAGTACGCAACAGGCCTCAGGCGGGAAATTGGGTCCCGGCCATACGTTGGCCACTTACGCCAAGGTCGCCTTGCTTGAACGCCTCGCACATGTGTTTGTGGCACGACCAGATAGCGGCATGGCGCATGCAGGCAGAGGGTGAGTACAAGGAGGAGGTTCGGGGATGGGGCCAACACTCACGTCGGTCCCCCTAGACTCTTGCCCAAGTACACCAACATACAGCCAGCTTGGAGGACAGTCCCACGAAGTTTGGCGCAGAGGATCAGTCCATGTAACGGCTGTTGCCCGGAATGGCGCAGATGTTGATTCAGCCTTGTCAGAGGCGGTCAATCCCGGCGACACGGACAAGGCGGCCGGGAAATCATCAATCTCGCTCAATGGCCACTAACCTGCCGATCGCATCTTCTTTGTACCTGCACGGTCCTCGTTTCGCCAAAAGGATGCGTAGCGATGAGACAGCGACGTACATCAAAGCTGTCGGCGCTGCCTGCGCGTTGATGCACACATGAAACCTCGCAGGCCCTTCCTCCATGGATTGCGCCTTGTGCTGACGAAGGCGCCGTGGTCAATCACGAGTCCTTCATATCAATCAGAGACGACACCAAGAGAGCGCTGTAGTATGTGAACAATTCACCAATCCGGCTAAATGCTATTCTTTCTGGTATTTCCAACTCTAAATAGGGGACTCTGTCTGCCCCGTCCATGGTCGCGTCGCGGAAGTTTCTAATATGGTCCCGTGTGCCGCCAGACGTATTAAATCATGTCGCTGTGGTCTCCCCTTTTCGTATGTCTCCCCGCTGGATATATGCTTCTTACACCGGTTTTTCACGCCTGCCAGCAGTACTACACTGGGCCGTCACAGACGCGGCTACACTCCTCCATGCTGCTTGGCCTAGCCCATCATATCCTTGTTACACAAAAAATCAACGCCGAGAAGCTGCCGTACCATGTCGAGGTGATTGCTCAGCGGGGTATAATCCCACCAAGACTTGGTATCATTCTGAAAGAGAGCGGGGGGTGGTGAGAAGACGCAAGGGGATTGTGGAAGTTACCGAGGTAAGTTCCAGCAGAGGGTAATGGTTGTAATCGATGGTTGGGGTAAGGTATCTGTTGATCTCGTCGTTATCGCGTCTCGAAAAAACCGTTCGTGGTCAAGGCCGGCGGGTCATCGTTCAGTTCGCGAAGATCTTGACGGCCGAATCCATGCCTCCCGTCGCAATGACACAGCGGAACTGGCCAGGCGCATCTCCCTTCTTGTCATCTCCGGCCTTGCCGTCGCCATTCGCTGCGGCATCGCCGCGGTTGGAGCCAGACACCCACCGAAGACAGGTGATGAACTGTTCATGTGTGTCCTCCAGAACCTTGACGCATTTCCCCTCCTGGCTGAGATCCCAACATCTTAGGGTCTTGTCGTCGGCCACGGAGAGCAAGTACTTGCCTCCAGGATGGAACACTAGAGCGCTGACCCAATTGTCATGCCCGACCAGTGTCTTGAGGCACGTTCCTCTGGAATCCCACAGCTTGATCGTCTTGTCTCGCGAACCAGTGGCAACGAACTCGGCGGTACTGCTTGCAGAAGGCGGGTTCTTCAATCCGGCCAGGTTCGCCAGGTGCTTGTACGAGGCGGGCGGCGCAAGTGCACAGCACTTGATGACGTTCTCGTGGCCGAACATTGTCACCGTGTTTTCGGGATTTGGCATGGACAAGTCCCAGATGCGCGCCGTCCGGTCGTTTCCTGTCGAGACGAGGTAGCGACCGTCAATCGAAGGGTCGACGTGGCGCACCCAGCCGCTGTGGCCCGTCAGCGTCTTGACACAATAGCCTGTCGTGGTGTCCCAGATTTTGAGCGTGTTGTCTCCGCTGGCGCTGACAAGCATGTTGCTGCCGCCAGTGCCCGAGGGAATGAATCGGACGGTGCTAATGCTGTGGTCGTGGCCCTGAAGCGTCCGGATGTTCTTGTAGTCATCGGCGGGATCCCACAGCTTGATGGTCAGGTCGGATGCGCAAGACGCCAGCAGGGTAGCGCCCTTGGGTCCTCCGAAATCCAGATCCTGCACAGCCTTTGTGTGTCCCTTGATGGTCTTTTCCAGCTCGCCAAACTCCCAATCCCATATCTTGATCGTGCAGTCGGCCGAGCCAGAGGCAATCGACGAGAAGGCGGGGTGGAAAGCGATACAGTTTACCGCGTCGCGGTGAGATTCTAGCGAATATCGGGGAGGCGATCTCGGTAGCCAGGCACTGGGGTCCTGGCTACGCTTAGCAAATGATAGAGGCGTCGCGTTATCGAGCTCGGTCTGCAGGGCGGCGTTCTTGGATTCGAGATCCATAATCTAGATGGAGCAAGAAGTATCAGCAGTGAGACATTGATGCAGGGGACAGGTCGGTCGCTTACTTTCTTCTGAAGCCTCACGACGCTCGTCCATTTCTTCTCCAGAAGGCCCTCATACTTCTTGGCCGTCTCGGCATCGAACGTGCTCTCCTCCAGCCCAATCTCCTCTCTCAAGGCAGCGGCGGTATTGGGGAGCTTGGCGGAGAGTAGGTATGCGATCATGGATTTGTGGCTACCAACAAGGTCAGCGAGCGGCAGCAAACGCGGTCGCCAAGAGTACGCACAGCTCCTCAGCCTGCCGTGTCGTCAAAAGGCGGCTCATTGTGTAGATTGAGGGCAGCGGGGGCCGCCTCCTGGATTGATTCGGTGCCCAACTATGGCGCCTCGCGGGCCAGCTCGTGCCAGGCGGGTAGGGTCAGATCAGGGGTTGGTCGGTGGCAGAGGAGACAAAGAGGCCGGCAGCGGGGATGAGCGACGGTGACGCTGGGTAGGGGCTTGGGGGGGCGAGCAAGACGTTGGACGCGGAATGGATGTCCAGCCAGACCAAAGCGACGTAGATAGCGGTCGGCGGGATAGATGCTTACCCCTGCCGGTAGCAGCTTTTGTCCCTCTCCCCACCGGCAGTCTGGCTGGCTGGCGCTTTGCTGTAGCTGCCCCTCAACGCCAACACAACAAACGGCTTGCACGTGACTGACGTAGCTCGTTCATGCGGGGCGAACAGCCAATTGATTCTACCAGCCAGCATGTGAAGCCGCCGGGTTCGAACCCAGCAACGGCAGCATTTCGTGAATTGTTTTTTACTTCCAAACCAGCCTTGTTTTTCGTCCTTTGAATATTGGCCAGCAGGATTAAGGCTGATCTCGTGTAGCTTCATTATAAATCTAGAGCCAATTGTATGGGTACGAATTCCAGCATTGACGCTGCTGGCAAAACACCAGGACCAATTTCATGCGCCAAATCGGGATCCCCACTGGCGTCCCTGAAACCCAGCACGAGGCATCCGCTGCCAGAGACAATCCACAGCACCATACCTACGAGACGTGGTTCTTAATATTATCGAAACCCAAAAAAATCAAGGTTAAGATCCATGAAGAGGCTGGATCGATTCGTAACTCCATGGGCCCCAGGGCCTCTTGCTGGAAGATGGACGTCATAGAAGGAGCAGGACCATTCACTTCCTCGGGCCTACCCTAGACCTCATTTCTCTTCCTCTTCCGCCAACAAGCATTCGCATTTGGAATGCATTAGGTTTGACGGTTTTTCCTTTGAATTGACGGAACTACTATTGATGAGTTCCCTCACAAAATGAGTCTTTACTCCTGAACTGGGCGGTCCAGTCGTGGTTCTCAATTGTAAATGTCTGCACTCTGGTTGCACAAGACTCTCACCGCTGGACGCTGGTTGGTGGGGCACCGCAGGAAGTCAATGAAAGCCCAAAAGAACCACTGAACAACAGCCCGAATGAACTAACTCCTGTCAGCCCAATGGCTAATTTGGTTTTCAGCACGAGAAAAGTGATTGCGTTTAGTATCGTCCTCGAGCTCGCTTTCTACCTTGCAGAAATTAGCCATCAGCAAGGTAGGTAGGGAGGTTGGGCGACTGCGTACACCCATATGATGGCCACAAGTAGATGCCTGTGGCGTAGAACCAGTCAATATGCTGGGCACTTGCACCTGCATACCCCTGGTCATTTGAAGGGCATTTGGCATCCTTTGCGATCCCTTTTTTGCCTTTCTCTTTCTAATGAATGAACCAACCCCTCTAGCGGTAATTTTTCGCCGTATGGTCAGAGGCTTAGTGTCTGTAAGACCAGTGATAAGGGGATTCTGCTCTCTAGCCACTTTCTCTCCATTGTTGAGCCACAGATGTCCTCCACAGCTTCGAGCCACGCTCCAGCCACTCATTCAACCTTCACAATGAGAATTGAGCCACGCACCCCATTTTTCGTTGGGCAACACACGACAGAGCCACAATAACAAAGCTCACTGCCTGCCTTGCTGCCTTTGCCTGTGTCGGATAATGTTGTAAATCAGTAATTGAGAAGGCATGCACTAATTGGCGAAGGAAAAATATTCATCCTTCGTCTTTAGTCAAGCGCTCAAATTGCGCGTGCGAGTCTTTCCAGCCGAATTATTCAATTTGAAGCTGCCCAATTCATCACCCCCTTGCACCAATCAAAGAAATGGCCGCACATAGTTACAACATGATCTTGAAATCTACTATTGGATCACCCTCTGCACCAGTTGGAAAATTGGCCACACGCAGCTTCAATCAGAATTTCCAAAGAAGCCCTGGCCAACCCCAAGGGAGACCTTTTGACCGACACGGGCGGCATTCATCACTGGATCACTTATCACTGCATGACGATATGAAGGATATACCAATTGAGTTCAAAATCATAATTTTCTTCTACCTAGACTTGCACTCGCTTCCCCGGTTCTTAACGTGTCTGCCCCGAGCTAGAGAGTCTGTCACGGCTATGAAAACCGAGGAGGAATTGATCAACACCCCTGAAAATCAGATAGCAGGCAAGACCGCACAGAGGGACAATAGATGACTGCGTATTCAGACGAGTGCGTTTCTTGCTACGTATTTGCCTCGCCCCCCTCTCCACACCTGGAGATCTTGTTTCTGTGGCCTTGGCAGGTATCTCTCTGGGTGTTACGCGGATCGCTGATGGCAAATCCGTACTCTCACTGATGTCCGAATATCTGCAGGACTCTGCAAGACCTCATAGGTTTGATGGGTAGGTAGAGCTCACCGCCAACTTACAGTTTTCAAGAAGCGGCCTTTTTCATCTCGCCAAGGTCAGGCGCACCAAGCAGGTCGACGGTCTCGGCATGCAGTCAGACTCGTATGCAGAGGATGCAGCAAGCCACCGCCCACATTGACATGGACATGGCCCGCCACTGAGCATGCACTCCGCAGACCGTACTCAAGCAAAATGCAGATGTCGGCATACCCCGTTAGCTTCGCCAAAAGTGCCTGCTGGCAGGGTTACTTCGGTGGCTTGGGCAGTACCCGATTCTCCTCATCAGGCAACAACGGCCTTGACGACGATGACGGCCGCCACGGCGATGTTACATTCGATCGCTGTGCATACATTTCCTGCCGCCGATCGTGACGATGCGTCTGTCTGCCGCTATGACTTCCAGTAATGGCTCAATTCACGCAGCCATGTCTCAGGCGCATTGACCAGAGTGCCTCAGCTCGCATGTGAAAGCCTGCTGGGTAGTCAAGTGGCTGCTCACACGGCAAGAAAAGCGATTCCAGAACCCATTACACATTTCCGTTCGTAGACAGTGAATGTGACAGCCGTCCCGGGTGACACAGAGGGTCAGATACGGGGTGGCTCTCAAACGCCACGGCGGAGGAGACTGGTGTATGGAGGGACGATGCTATTCGCCGAAGCAGGCTCATGCTGGCGACTAGCTCTCTGCATGGTTGGTTGATAATGATGACATGAGAGTATGTATGGAAACAACTCGGTTGTGGTGGCGTTCTCATTGAATTGTGCGAGCAGGATAATGCAGATTGTCACTTTGCACTATAGCCCTTTGGTAGGAGGTACAATGACCTCTGAGGAAACTACCAGTATTCCTTTGCTTCTGAGACAGCCCACTTGCCGTATGTCTTGAACTTTCGTAGGGGGGGAAGGCAACAGCGACACGTGTATCGTATCAGCACAGTGTTGGGATTTCTGTCATATATTCATGTGATAGAATATTTTCCAGCAAGCCACTGTTTTCTCGTGAGAGCACGACCAAAGCGGTGGAGAGATCCCACACCTCAACTTTCTGGGGCCGGAGAAAACTGGCTAGAAACTACGGCTCATTGGCCAAAGAAACTTAATCTGCAGATCGATCGGTTCTGTTCAGGCGATTCTAGGAAGAAAAACGGCGTCTATTGGTCAGATTGTCGAGATGGTTGCATTTCACCCGCACGACACCGATTCTTATGCCCGTCTGACCATTTTCGGTTCGGCTAGGAAAGAGGGGAAATCTCACGAGGAGACTGGATGCCACCCTGGTAAGTTGTCGGCTGCATATTGTGCGGAGTCTGTTGCCGCTAGCCATTTAAAACAAGGAGCAGCCGGAGCTGAAAAGGAAAAAGAAACGATACCCTCCAACAGCCTTATTGTTCTTTTATCGTTGGCTGTAGAGGCAGCATGTGCGGGCGCCAGCCCCCCGGAGGAGAATCACTTGCAGATGGTTTTTCGCACTATCGAAAGATCAGCGTGCCCTCCACAAGACAAAGTGGAGGCCTTGACAGCCTCACTTTTTGAAAGTATTCCACATTATCCATTGTGCTCTTGGCCGGCTGGGATCATGACGCCCGATCGCCACATGAGAAGCGGTCTGTCATCACCGAGACTCCCGTGAAAGTGATAGATCTTTTTTGGCTTCACACTATCACACCATCTGGTATGCATCGCCGTCCACCGAGAGGGGCCCAAACTCCTAGTCGAAAGCCATTCTTACCGGCAGCCAGTAACAATCCAACTTGGTGTCTCAGAGCGTTGCAGGATAATAAAAAAAGTCGAAAGTCAAAGCGCCGTCAGCATGCAACTCGCCAGAGCAGTCGAGCGCCACCGGATGCTTGCTCTTCTTTCGGCAGTCCACTATGTTTTTCTTTGATGGTACTTCCCCTCAGGCTCAAGTTCATCAACCCTGTGCCCGGATCAATTAAGTATTTGAACTCGGCTGGTCTTTGCTCTCAAGGCAAATGAACACTCTTCTCTTCATCCCAAGCACCCTTCACTCTCAACTATTTTAACTTCTTGAGGACACTGCTACCCCGGACACCTCACCACATCCCTGATTCCCATGTATCAGAAAGGAAAAGGGAGGGAGGTTCAGGTACGGTCCCCATGCACCCAAATGGATGTCACCGTCTTCGAGAAACTTAAAGCTAACCTGCTAATGTGCTTCTCCACCAGGGTTATGGGATTTCTACGTCCCGCACTAGACGTGGCCGGCGGGGCATTAGGTCCCTTGGACCCCCGATCGCTGGTGCCCTCCGTAAGCTTTGGCGTAAGGAGCGGAAGAAGACGAGACGCTTGAACTCTAGCATGAGCCGTGACACCACCAATGACAAGCACGTCGACACTGCCAACACCATGAGCCCTTACGAAGCCATGCAACGTGACATCTCTTCATGGATACGCGATCCAACAGCTGTTCCAGTGGCGACTAATGTCAATCTATCCCTGACACAGCCTGGGTTTGACAGCGCCCTGAACGGTAGAATCTCTGGCAACAATCCACCCCTGGGTGAGCCCACACGCATTGATTCTAAACATGTCAATGAGCCTGGACAAGTTCAAGCTGATAGCTTCGCGGTTCATGTCACAACTGCCGATAACTATTGGTACGCAGCTCAAGCCCAACAGGACTTATTTGAGCTTTGGGAGAACGGGGTGAGAGATGCTTTTGCGAGGACCTCCATGTTCACATGGATGGACCAGGACTTTGGTGTAGCTTCTCCCATGAACCAGCCTGCACAAGCTCAGTCTGAACTCCTGGCAAATGGTGCAAATCATGGCACTGGTCACCAATCCACGGCTCAGCTTCAAGCTCAGAGTCGGTCTGGAACCCCCATGAGTGACGGAGACTCCAGTGTGACTCTGTGCCTCGATGACTATGCATGCATTCGGTCTGACACGCCAAGCGATGGAGACTCCAGCGTGACTCTACACACTTTTCGGTCTGGCACGCCCATGAGTGACGATGTGGACGATGACATGAGCGATGACATCGACGATGACATCGATGATGATGGCTTTGAAGATGAAGAAGATGATGAGATGGGCAATGACAGGTGGAATGAATCCGCCCAGGTCATCATCGAGGATTTATGGGAAGAACTGCGCGATGGCAAGGTGATTCGGTTGGCGGGTGACTCCATGGAAGATTCCGTGAGCGATGGCATGTACGATGCCGACGACGCCCGGGCTGAGAAGATGAGCGATGTCATCAATGAAGTGAGCGATGACGCGAACAATGCGTCTGATAGAGATGGCTTGAGTGATGGAAGCGCTCGGACCCTTCCACCCATCGACTTCATCACTCCAGCGCAACTTAGAGCGCATATGGTGAGCGTTGAACGCTCTGTTGTCGATGATATGCTCATGTCCGACTCAGTTCAGGTTCAATTCACCGGGACCATGGACGGTGAGGATGCCGACATCAACAGTCCACCTCTGGTTCATCCTATACCACTCCGAGTACAGCCGGACTTTGACTCAGTCATCAATCATGTTGAGACACCTGCAGACGAAGGAGATGCTCCGCGTCTGTTCATCAACCCCTCTCTCACTCCGGCTGACTACCTGACGGGTCATCTGGCGGGAACCATGCTAGGGTATACACATGGGATGGGGCTAAGCAGTGTCCACATGTGCTACCTCCCAGAGATCCCAAGGCGCCTGGAACAGAGCGTCGCTCTACGCAACGCGGCGTATTATTTCTGTTACACGTGGCACCAGTTCCATCTTGGCAGACTGCAAGATGTCGATGAGAGTTACGGGTACGCCCGAGCTTCTCATGGCATTCGAGATGAGTTGGAGATGGTGCTTCGCTTTGCCAAATATGGACTGGCTGATAGGCTCGTGACCCCCGAGCTCCTGACTGCCTTGACTTTGACTGAGCGAACCTTGAAGCTTTTCCTCCAGGGGAAGAAAGCTCCCGAGTACGCTCGCTTGTGCAAGAACTTGATTGCCGAACTTTGGCTGGTCAGAGGACCACCCGACCTCAACGACCCCCTGGATACGGCCGTCTCCAATGAGATTCATGGGCTTCTGGTGAGTGCAGTGGAGATCCCCCTTTCCCACGTAGTCCTCCATCTAACCTTTCTTCTCTTGTACATAGATCCGTGAAGGCTGCGAGGTGGACATCACCTGCATCTCCGATACTCCGTGGAATGAGGCCCTTGCACTATGTGCTGTAGGAAGGCCTACATCCGTGGACTGCCCTGACACGGATAACCGTCCATTCATGATCAACGACCATATCAAACTCCACGAGTATATGTCAAAGCTCGAGCCGCTGTTCATGGACCTGATGCGGATTTGCAGGAACCCTTTCGGCACAAAGCTCCTTGCTCGCGAGGTTCTGTCGCGGCTGCAGGTGATCAAAGACACGGCACTCTTCGTCAGCGTGAGCTCAAGTTCAGAGAGCCGAAGGCCTCTTGAGCATGATCTGCGGCCGGCGGTGCATTACTTCGGCAAGCGCTTCTATCTCAAGTCCGTCATGCTGGCGCACATGTTCCAGAAAATGATGATGCACGAGTTTGTGCCCTTGCAGGTGGTGTACGAGATGAGCTATGCGATTGGCATATCGCCCGGCAGCTACCTCGAGTTTTTTGACAAAGCCGAGTACGACACGCCAGAATATGAGGTTTGGACTCGGATTCCGCAACGGATACTTGACCTCGCGGAGAAGGGTGCCAGGCATTTTGAGCCATGGTGTTTCAAGCCCGCGCCACTGCTGGCTGTTGGTGTCGTAACAGATGATGGTCCTTCTGGAACGGGATTCACCTCTATGATATGGCGTCCTGTCGATGATAGGAGGCTGTTGAACATGCCATTTCGTGATTTATATAAGCTCCGGCTTCACTCGTCCCTGCACAGCGGTCACGGGCTGTAAGATCGATTCCACTCATGTGGCATGTCGATGGGAGAAAGATGAAGAGCGAGACGTGGGAGGGGTGATGAACATGCTGTAGGCAGCGGGACGATCTATTTTCGACAGATTGGTTGGTTAGCAAACTGATAGGAAGGAAAACGCTAGGATACTGGAAAAATGGGAATTTGGCATGAAGGATATAGCGAAAGGGCGCTTACTCAAGGGTTGAGTATTTTTTTGGGTCGTTTCAGTGTGTGATTGAGCTTGGCGAATGATCGGGAATTTGATCTGATGGATATCAGAAAATGGCGATTCAAGGATTGGGATATTGGTTTGGTTGCTCGAGAGGGCAAGATATGATTCCAAATAGTTCTCCACTATTTGGGGCAAGGCGAAAGGGCGAAATTTGGGAAATGATGGAAGAACCTCTGTTTCCGGAGGACCATGGAACGACGGAATGAATGTTGCTTGGTTTAGTTGGGTTGGGTTTGGTACAGATTGTTTGGGGGAAGCAGTTGTTGGTGCGAGACGCGGTTGTGATCTGACCTGGACGCACCTTCCGTCCTGGTTCTGAGGGCTAGGCGGTGTCTTTTGTATCTTTGCTAGGTCGGTACGTTCTGTTGTCGTCGCCACAACCATTAACGATAGGTACCTAGATATGTGCTAGGTACGGTATGTACTGAGTTATCAGCATGTGCCTTCAATATGAATTATTCTTCTGACCACCTCACCTAGGAGCTTCCTACGAGCTTCTTGTAATATTCATCAGCTTCAACTGCACGGCACAGCCCTGGTGCTGGGTCGGCCATGTGCTGCGCCATGCGGCGCCTGGTTCATCTTGCCCGTGTGTGGCGATCCACGTTGTCGTCGGAGCGATCAAGTCGGGATCAATATCTCTCTCGGCGCAAAATGCTCCCAGAATGGCAATCGACCCCTGTCGCTTGTGTCTGCATTGAAGGGTCCCAAAGCTTCCTTGTAACGTGTCTCGCCCTCAGAAACCGTCGGGAGCTAATATTGATCAGGGATAGACTGTGGCCTCTTCGTCCGACTAATCCATCCCCATTGCTGGCGCTGGAGGGATTCTTTTTTTGGCTTCGGGCTGCGCTAATTGAGGCAAAGATCAATGCAAGACCAAGTCTTCCGGCCGATGAACCCACAGAGGAATCGGCATGCGGCCAATCGTATCTGACCCTCGGATGCTGCCCACGCGAAATTCGAGCGAGCGCGGGGCGACACCGACCGAAATTCTCTCTAGCATCACCATTTCGGTGCCGCGGTGAGGCTGATCTGATGGCATGCCTGCCATGATGATGGGTTTTGGATCTTTTGGGATTGATTGGAAATGACTATAAGTATAGCTGGCCCTTGCTGGTTTGAAAGCCTTTTTGGAGCATCACTACCTACTTGCAACGGCACAAGTTTCCCAACCATCCTGTCTAAACTTCGTTATTAATCATTCTACTACCTCCACCCCATTAACAACCATGTCAAAGACCATCACCTTCTTCGGCGCCTCAACTGGCTGCGGCAACTTTGCCCTCAAGGCAGCACTCGCACAAGGCCACACCTGCATCGCCCTGCTCCGCTCCCCAGCCAAGCTCGCCGACCTCGCTGCTTCAAACCCCAACCTCATCATTCGCGAGGGCAACGCGCACGATGCCACCGCCGTCGCAAAATGCCTGACCATCCCCGGCGATGACTCTCGCCTGGTTGACGCCATCCACTTCTCCATTGGCGGCACAATGGATCCCAAGACCTTCAAGTTCACTGACCCCGATGTCTGCAAGAACGGTATCGCCGGTCTCCTCGAGGCCCTCACCACTCTCCGCCGTGATTGGAATGCTGTCGGCAACCCCCTTCTCGCTGTCGTTAGCACCACCGGCATCTCAGATCAGAAGCGAGACTACCCCCTGGCCTTTTACCCTCTGTACCACTGGATGCTCGCTACGCCACACGCAGACAAGAAGGTCATGGAAGAGCGTCTCAGGGCTGGCACAGAGCGTTTTGTAATTGTGCGCCCCAGTCTGCTGATTGATGGCGACAAGGAAGGCGTCAAGGTACGGGAAGGGCTGGAGGATGTCCGCAAGGGCAAGCTGGAGAAGGAGGAAGTTGGATACACCATCTCACGGGCCGCCGTGGGCAGGTGGATCTACGAGAAGCTGCTCAGCGTAGATGAAGGAGCCGTTCGGGACTGGGAGGGTAAAGCTGTGTCCATTACATGGTAGCTCGCAATCTTCAGGAATTGGGAGCGAGTATCCTGTCTTGTTACAAAATGAGTCTTGTGTTATTTTGGGTTTCCGTTAGCGTCCATGAGCAGATAGATTTTCTTATTACTTGGAATTTGACTATATGAATGAATCGAATAATATCTTTACTATTTCACTTACAATTTCTCCATTCGCCATGCAAGGCACATAATCAGACTAATTAATTAAGTGTTCTAATGTGTTGTGATACTGGGTATAGTGTCGAGGTGTTAAATTCTTGGTGTTTGGGAACCCCCCCCCTTTTTTTTCAGCAGCTGCATAGCTCTCTCACTTACTACTTAATTAAGTGTTCATTGTCTCTCACAGTTCTAATGTTGGGGAGTCACCAAGCTTCTTTTGGTGAAAAGAACAAACTCATAAGGTGCGGACGCAATGGGACTGCCACTCTTTGTGTGTCACCAGAATCTTTGTTTCAGAGAAATTTTGTGCTTGTGCGACCTCACATAAGCCGGACGATTTTGTTGTCTTCTTTCCTCTGAGGTTCTTTGCCCCCCGCGGATTTCATACGATACACTGTCCCGGGGGCTATCGCCCAAATCACGGCTGCTGGCTCACTTGATTCTTACTCCCTTTCACACACCACCAACACAAGTGTGTAAGTGAACTTCGCACGGGGTGTTCCTAGACTAATTCTAAGTTTCCGTTCAAGCTCTGCATCTTTGCCAGACTCAGTGGCGGATTTCTCGATGCTCGAGTCTGCATATAAAATCCCGCCAGCTAGCTGCTCCAACCACCCCAGTGCATCCATCCTTCATCTCTCTGCTTCTCGTGAAGCTCCAACACCTACAAAATGGGAACTCCGTTGATCAGGTAAGGAGCCGGGCGCATTCCCTCCGTCAATACCCCTCAAGTTAACCAAATGATATAGTCCATACTACACCAACAACACCCTCGACCTGAGGATCAAGTCAGTCGGCAGCAAGTCTTCTCGCGACTTCGAAAATAGCGATTACGCAAGGGTCAAGATTGTGAAGACTCTGCAACCATCCACAACGTCCGTGGTCATGGTCGTCGAGCTTCTCGATCCGCCTGTAGAGCAGGACCAAGACCCTTTCGCTCCTGGCATTACACCCCAAAAGTTGATCCTCAAGATGTATGACCGTCGGTTCTCTCCCCGTTTGCGGGAGGAAATGGATGTCGACGGACTAGCAACACGGGAGACGGAGACGCAGTTCTTCAGCTTCCTGGATGACGGCGGCATGCCTGGGTTTTTACCACTGTACCCAAATGCTCGCTCCTCACCAACTGCCACCTGGAGCACAGCACAAAAGGAGGCGTACTTTGCCCTCAGAGCCGCCGATATGAACAAGAGCGAAGTGCTGGCGTATCACCATCTGGTGGATCTTCAAGGGGATGCCGTCCCGGTTTTCCACGCTGACGTCCAGCTAGCTCTGCGTAATTCGCTCGGCCAAAGCTTCCGCCCGTTTGCTGGAGTTGAGGGGGTCCTGCTCGACTACATCCCGGGTTTTCCATTGGCTGAGCTGGGTGAGAAGGTACCCGAGGTCGAGTGGCCGGCCATCTGCGAGCAAGCTATCGAGAAGGTGAACAAGATCATCGACCACCCATTCATCAACCCCGACATGGTGCTCCAGAACACACTCGTCTCGGGCGGCGAGGGCAGCGGGCAGTACAAGGTCCATTACATTGACTTTGGTGGGTGCTTTTTCCGCCCCGAGTCCGACACTGACGAGATGTGGAGGCAGCGGAAGCGGCGGGCCTGGGAGGAGGGTAAGATCGGCCACGACCTTTCTAGCTCTCTCTCAGTGGCAAGGATAGACAATGCGAAGAAGAGGTATGAGGGGAGAGATGCACCTGATCTGCCCCCTATGGCATGGAAGTTTATGCCGTCGAATCGTTTCGCGGATGTGTAAACGCCGCCTGCTGGTAAATGAAAGGCTGTCAGAGGGAGGAAAAAGAGAAACAACAACTGGTTTCTGTACTTGCCAAAGCCCAAGGACTGGGATGCTTAGGCTTGGTAAAGGGAAATGTGAATGGGGAAGTGTCCACAAGAGGGGAAAAATTGACCAAAAGATTGGCGGTAGAGAACTTGGGTTGATAGAGAATGCTCTGAACACTTGGATATCGGAAACTAGTAGTCCAGTCCGTGAAAATCTGTGGCACATATTGTGGATATCCTTATCGGATATCGGTTTATCGATATCCGGTCTTATCGATTAGTCGTATATACTTATCCAACCTTCGGTTAGAACCTTCTAACAGATAGCTTTTATCCTAATTATTATATTTATTTGCTTTAATTATTGCTTTACTTTACTGTATAGCCCCTTATTAAACTATACTGATTAGTCTGGAAGACTAAGATAGACTAATAGATCAGATTAATATCTATTTATTTTTCTATAATATAGTTAATCTTTTATTCAGCTGGGAAAGATTATTAAGACTGCCTGTAAGGAGATCCGGATATCTTATTATTAATTCCTTTATTCTATCTACCTACTACTCCTCCTATCTATTTATTTCTTTGTTTTAATAGATCTAATCTACTCTCTGTATATTCCTATATATTAGATATATATTTTTACCTACTTATATATTTATTATATTAGTCTATTAAGTATCCAGTAATTTTATTACTATATCCTTCAGACCCCTTATCTCTTATTTCTTTTATTAGTTTATTTATAATTAGCTAGTTCCTACTAAAGTCTGATATACTTATAACTTAATATATTATTAACTTATTAAGTTAAACTATTTTCTTACTTATCTATTACTTAGTACTAAGAGTAACTAATAGTTTCTTTCTTATTTCCTTTCTCTAGATAACTTATTATATTATTAATTTTTTATCCCCTTATTATATTATTATATTAATATACTAATATACTAATATATTATTATATTAAACTTACCTATTAACTAACTGGAAATAGTATAATAAATCTAGAATCTAGTAATCAGGAAGCTGAAAACTAATTACTCTAAGATATATAATCCAGTTAAATAATAGTAATAAATTTAAACTTAAATCAGTCTGATAATATCCTGATTCCTTCTATCTATAGATAATATATTAATATATTATTATAAGGAAACCTAGCTGGTTTTAATCTAATAACTATAATAAACCTATAGAAGGTATTATATATAGTATATATAATAATTCTTTAGAAGAGAATATAATACTATAGTTAGATTCTCTATAAGATTATATCTGATAAGTTTAAATAATAGATTACTAATTACCTTATTAATTATAGAAAACTAATAGAATTATTATAATAGTTCTTTCTTATTAATAGTATTTTTATTAAACGGAATAGTAGTTATATTAGAGCTAATATTAAATAAATATTAAGTAATCTATTCTATTTATAGACTAATAAAGAAGTAAGTAATATTAGTAATAAGTACCTGGATTTCTATAAACTATTAAGGAATAATACTAACTTCTATATAGAAATTACCTATAATCAGATAGTTAAAGACTTTAGAATTAAAATATTAGATACCTAAAGCTAATATAGTTAATAGACTGAAAATATATAGAACTATTATATATTAACTGTTCGAAATAATAACTTAATACCGCCTAGTATATTAAATAGCGGATTATATAATTAAGAATATCTATATAGTAACTGGGATTATATAAATTAACTATTAGGTTTAAATAGACTACTATTTAATTATTATTAACTAATATCTCTTAATAATATCCTATTTAATAAATATAATAATCTACTGCCAGATAATCTGATTATAGTTATTAAAGCGAAGAAGTTAATAGATCTACAGAAGCTATATACTAATAATATAAAGTACAGTAGTAATATACTTAATATATTAGATATAAAGCTACTAATTTTTACTAACTATTATTAGAAAGTTAGTATTTATTAATCTAAATATACTAGTATATTTAAAGTTATACTCAGGGGATAAGCAGAAGAGTTCTACTATAATTATCTATATAACCGCAGATATAAATATAATAATCTAACTAATAAACTGTATATATATTTTAAAATAGACTAATAAAAATAGCTCTACTTATCTGAGTAGTATATAATTATACTAAGATATATAATTAATATAGATCCCAGTTATTTAAAGACTGAATCCCTTAAATAGCTTATTAAATATCTTATTAAACTGTAGTATATACTCCTATCTAATTACTAGTTAGATAAAATACTATATAACTAATTAATTAATTACTATTATAATATACCCGAATATAGTATAAGTATCTTCCGATCTATTAAGATATTTAAAGATATATATAATAAACTATATAATACTATCAGTATAATAAGCTATTAACTATAAGTTATATACTACTAGATACAGACTGGAAACTACCCGCTGTAAGTTATATATAACCAGGAAATAGAAGATAATAATAATCCTATTAATAATAAATCTAATAATAGGTATTTTACTAATCGAATATATTATAGTAATAGATATAATAATTAGTATAACTATTAAAACTTATAATAATATAGCAAATTATCTAATAGAAAACTATTTAATTAATAGAATAGGAATTAATAATAATATATTAAGAAGTACTATATCTATAATAAGGTTAGCTATTAATTAATAAAATACTCTAATAATAAATAGAAAGCTATATACTATTATTATAAAGAGTTATCCTATCTATCTGAACAGACTTCTGAGATATACTATTAATTCCTTATATAGTACGAGGGTTAACCCGATAAAGATAATAAACCTAATATATTCCTCTAATACTAATAGATACTTAATAGATATCTACTACTATTAAGTAGTAAACTAATAAAGATATTAAATAATTAAACTCAGCTAAATATTAATATAAACTAATATTATTATAGTATATAGTTTCTAATAGAATATAAGTTAGATATTATATTAATCTTAGCAGAATAATTAACCTACTATAGCCTAATAAAGGAAGATCTCTATAGCTAACCGGTTAAAACTAATAATATTAATAAATTATTTACTATAAATTAATATAATAAGATATCTTTTTAAGGTATTATTCTGGATACTAATATATTAAAGTATTTAACTAGTAGCTATAAATAGTTTAAAGTACTCTAATATATCCTTCTATCTATTTATATAAAACTATCAGACTTAGTTATCTACTTTAGATTAGGTCTATCTATATAAGCTCTTAGTTTAACTAATATTAAGATACTACTTAGTAATATAATATTTTATATTATACTAACTGATATACTATTTCTACTATATCTCTAAGATATAGATCAGTTAGATATTTAATATAATAACTTAACTAATATCTTATAGAAAGATAATATCTCTATCCCAGTTATCTATAAATAGAGCTATTCCTAATTACTATTAAATAACTATAAGATAACTACTTACTTCCTTACTAAGATAGAGATCTAATATATCTATTATTACTTTAATTATCTATCTATTACTTATCTTAAATATATATTAGAATAAGCTAGTTATAATATAGATAAATAAATTATTAAAGTAATTTTAAAAGTCTGCTACTACTATTAACTATTTACTAGTTATCCGTATTAATTTAAGTTTAACCTTTATAATAACTATAAGTTTAACTATAAACTAGTAGTTAATATTATATATCTTAATAGAAATAAATCTATTCTATATATTATTAACTCTACTATATTATTTAATACTGCCTGTTTCCTAAAAGATATTTCTACCTAATATATCTAGTAAACCCTATATCTCTATTAGATTAATATTTATCTAGAACTACCTGATTAGCTGATTACTAATACTAGTACTAGCTTTTAAGTAATTAAATTCTACTATAAAGCTCGGATAATAGGAATCTCTATTAAGAAAGTACTAATTAAAGTATACTATAGTATTAGTAAAGTTAAATATTACTATTTACTAATCTGTTAAGTATATAAAATTATTAGATTAGAAGACCTATTAATTATATAAGAGTTCGTATTATAAATAGCTATTAAATCAGTAAATAATATAACTGGACCTAATAATCTGATTCCTATACTTTTTATATTCAGTATATTTCCTTATATAATAGATAATTATATACCCTTACTATTAATAGTTAAATATACTGAGGCTTTATATAAAGCTATAGATAAAGTTAGATAACTAAAGGCTAAATATATAGTTAATAAAGCCCTAGTAATAAGAAATAGACCTAATATATCTAATATATTAAACCTTCTACTATAATCTGATATTTATATATAGAGGGAGGTTACTAAATTATAATAAGGACTATTTAAACTCCTAGCTATTAAAGAAGAGAAATATATTATTTAAATACTATAGGGTCTATAATTATTCTGTTTAACTATTATAAAACTATTCTACTATAATACTGATTATCTATTTAATATAGTTAACTATAACCTATTAGATAATAACCTACTGTTAGATAAAACTAATATCTTTCTACCTGGTAAATTAAATAATTCCCTGAATAATAACTCTTTACCTCTTAATAAAGATAAAGATAAACCTATATTAGATATAATTATTATTAATATACTGTACTATATAATAATATAATAATAATATAATATTTAACTACCTACTACTTTTATATCTGAGATTAATAATTTTTCTAATCCTATTAATAAGCTGAATTCTATTAAATTTAATAATAATATTAATAGTCTATATCTTATTATAGATAAAGATAATACCTTATTCCTCTCTATAAAGGAATAATCCGATCTTAAGTTAGTAATTTCCCTTTAAAAGGAAGGGAAAATTTATATACCTAGTAAACTGTTTAAATAGTCTAATTAAGCTGAAATTAATACTCTAATAGATAGAGATATCTTTAAGATTACCCTATTTAATAAGAAGTTATATACTGGAATATATATCTTTAACTCTTATATAGTTAATAAAATTAAGGGTAAAGATACTAACTGACCTTATAAGAAATTATAGTTAGTTATATAAGGCTATACTGATAATAAGAAATATACTATCTTAATATAAGCTCTAACTATTTAATAAGTAAGTTAATAATTTATTCTTTCTATTACTCTATTATTTTTATAAGATAATAACTAGATCTAACTATAGCTATATAATATTATATAAGTATATATACAGTTATTAACTAAACTGAACTATATTATATTAGTCTATTTACTAATCTAAATCTATTACTTATATCTGCTCAGATTTATTATAATAATTAAGAAACTGCTTTATAGAATAGCTAAAGCTAGTACCTATTAGTAGGATATATATAATAAATATTATAGAAAAAGACTCCAGATAGAATCTTTAATCTATAATCTGTATTTACTAATTATAATAGCTAATAATAACTCCTTTAGTATTATTAGAATACAGACTAATAATATAATCAGACTATTAGATACTAAATTTAATAAATAGGAAACTAATAAGTTAAAGAAGATATAGTTTACTGCTAAACTAAAGTAATATCTTATACCTAATAATCCTATTATATTTAATAGAGGGATTATTAATCTTAATACTAATAGTATTATCTAACTAAAGTAAAAAGATTAAAGTAGTAAACTATAATTTATTTAGTTAAATAACTAAATAAAAAAGTAATATATTAAATAATATATCTATAGTATATATATTATATTAATCTGCTAACTAGAAGTATTATTTAACCTATTTATAGCTATATAATACTAAGATCTATTAAATATATAAGTTAAAGCTCTAAATTAGTATATTTAATAGCAAATTAATAACCCGGATTAAGGGTTAAACTTTATCCCTTTTAACCTAAAAATAGCTAAGCTCTTTATATTTATTAATAGATTATTTACTAATAACTAAGACCTGATATTATAGCTTAGTTTTATTATTATCTTAGCAAATAAATATAAATATAATAAAAATAATAACTTATTCTAACTAATAGGTAATATTATCTATTATAGTTTAATTAAATATAAATATATTACTTATTCTATTCTTATATTAGAAGTTTATAGTATAGTTACTAGTATTAATATTATATATATAATTTTAACTACCCTTTAAATAGTTACTAACTATTTATTAATTAACTATATTCTGACTATTATATATACAGATTTATATTTATTATATAAATATCTGATTAAACTTAGTATAATAAAGGAAAAATAACTTATAATTAATATAATAGCTCTATACTAATTATATAAATATTATAAATTAATAGAAATATACTGGATTAATAGTAAAGATAACCTTACTAACTATTTTATTAAATCTACCCCTAACTATTTATTAGAACAGTTTATTAATAATAATTTAATTATTATATATAAAGAAGAATAGGTTATATATAACTAATATAACCGATAGATTTAATAAATAGTTATAAGAACTTAATAGGTTCTTATCGGATGAACTTTATATTTAATGGATTTATATATTTATATATACTTAATTTATTATTATACAGACTTCTGCTTTTAAACGGATATCTCCTACCTGTATCTAGTTATTATATATATATTTCCTTTTAACTGAAAGGAAAAAGAAAAGATTACCTGTATGGATATCCTTATCGGATATCGGTTTATCGATATCCGGTCTTATCGATTAGTCGCACATACTTATCCAACCTTCGGTTGGAACCTTCCAACAGATAGCTTTTATCCTAATCATCACATTCGTTTGCTTCAATCATTGCTTTGCTTTGCTGTACAGCCCCTTGTCAAACCACACATATGCCGGGTAATATGGCTTGCCTCCGGAAATCTTTCATCAAACAAAGCAGCTTCGATAGGGGGACTTGCATCAACAGCCTGACAAGGTTGCTGGCAGATCAAGTTAAGGGTAAACAAAGAAGAGTCAGCTCAGATGCCAATAATAATGTTTTGAGTCAATATATCTCCTGATTAGGGTGCTTTTGACGCACCTCTAAGACATAATGAATGGAATGGCCCGTATACGGCGGGTGAGATGTGGATGGCAGAGTGCGAAGCCTGGTCGCCATCTTCACCGACATGGAATGACTAAATGACCACGTAGAAGCTTCCTGGGGCGACGTGAGGCCATATAGATCACACTCGGTTGATCTGGGAGCGTACCTAGACCACCAGCGCCATATCCTGTGCATTCGCGGTCGATCCATCGGCGTGCTCCCTGCTCGAATTGCGCAAGGTAAGTAAGAGTTCGGTCGCATCAATCCACGGCGGGTGAGCAGATCATCGACGAAACAGAATTGCCGTATTCGATGGTCTTCTCCTCGATACTGTCGCTGCCCCAGCGCGTGGTTAGTGGAAGAGATGTAAAATTCGACACCTTGCCGGTACCAGCCTGTTGCGTGAGAAGCGCCTGCCACTTCACGTTGAATGGTGCTCCTGCGTCCTGCGAGTTAGCATATGGGCAGGTTAGTACAGAAAGAAGACAATTCTGCGGCAGCTGCTCCGAAATCAATCATTGCCTTCCCTACGACACAAATGCACTCACCGAGTTCGACGCATCGCGTTGGTATTGGCAGAGGCATGTGGGCACGGATTGAAGCAAACATTTATTACGCACACGAAATCACTGCTATTAGGATAGACACTTTAGCGCTGCAATTGACTTGGTGATGGGTACGTAATGCAAATACGCCCATCATGATGCTGGCGTGTTTGTGCTATGCCATGGCAGGCTCATCGCAGGGACGGGCAGAGACAAATATCGACAAGACATGAGAATTATCACGCAGTTTGAATCAAACTTCATTATATTTCCTCAACGTACTGATCTCCCAGCTCAAAATAAAAGATAATCCTAGCAATCCTAATCACAAACAAATCAATCCACGCACGCGCCTCACTCCTTCTTCGCGTCAAGCTCGTCCTTCTTCTTCTCAACATGTGCCTCTTTGGTCGCCCGCTGGCCGCATCGGCAGGCTTCCTGGTCGGTCACATCCTCGACACGACGAGTGGTGGTGTTTTGGTCGACGGAGCGGTGCAGGCGGCTCTGCCCGGGCCCGAAGCGCTCCTCGGTGAACTCGACGGGGTCGTTGTTCTGCTGGTAGGCGGTGCGCACCGTCGTCCCCTCGGGGGTGGTGCGCGTCTGCTCGGAGAAGGAGTGCGAGCTCATGTGACCATTTCGGTTGATGTTAGAGGAGACATTCCAGCTTGTGCTGGCGGAGTAGAAGAAGGGCATCGCGACGAGCTCAGCGGGTTGGTTATAGCGGATTGTGTGGCAGCTTCAGTTCGTATGTAGAGTTGATGAACGCTTGTGAGTGCAGGTATATGTAAGATGGAGAAAAGCGAGGAGGAGATGGGAAATGCAGGCTCTCTTATATACCTTTTCCCTGGCGTTGGTATGGCAGGCGCGACGTCATTATCACTGGTGTCGGAAGACTGCTATTCGCCGAGGACCAGAGTAACACCCTGCCAGCATTGATTGCATTGACAAGACGTGCATCAGCTGACAACGGACAGTTCACGTGGAGATGCGTCAACGATGCATGAGGCCAGATGAAGAGCTTAAATTCTAGTATGTTCTACAGCCACGTCAATTCTCAGAGGCTGAGCTGACCAGTCTCCGGGTCTTGAACCATCAAGAGACGGGGTGGTCGAGGCTAGATGCTTGCATCTAGATGATGGAAATATTTCACTTGATATGCCACGTCGCCAGTGTGCCAGATAATACCACCCGCCGTACATGATAAACCCTGCGAAGCGATATAAGCCCCCGGGCTCATTGCCACTCGAGTGGGACATCAGTCATTGCTAGACCTTTCTGGCCTCTTTTCTCCTCGACGGCACGATATTACCGAAGTTCGACACGTCTTGAGGCGTATTGATATTGTTATCTGCTAGTCATTTCCATCACCGGAGACGCCGGGGCCGAGAGTGGTGCTCAAGTTGTCACTATAACGTCGCACCTAATCTATATCTGCTTCGAGTTGGTAGCCAGTCTCGGACCTCTTGAAATTCGAAGGTTCCAGAAGTATGATAGATGTTCTACAAAGGCATACTCAAACAAGTCAGCGGCCAGTTGAATGGCCAATGCTACCTCAAAGTAGAGGAGGGGACAATCAAGGTTTCCACCGTCTTCCCTCCTCGACCTCTTTATAGTATCGATTTTGGTGCGTTCATGTTGTTAGTTCAATGCAACGACTTGAGTTGGGGCGTATTTATGTAAGGCTAAGTTCAAAAAAAGAACCATCGGGTGCTGTTTATCTATAGTATCTATCTAATTGTCTATCTAGAATTGACGAACACGTCCTTAATCAATTTATCAGGCTGTTGGCATCCTCTGCCCCAAGGCAGCAAATCCTTCCCACGTTCTATCAGCGTTCTATGGCCCCGACCTGGTGCAGAAATTGCTTTCTTCATCCAACGGGATGCTCTAAACATGCTCCTGGCCGGCCTTGCCATCAACCTCTTCGACAGGGCGCTTATCATCAGCATCAGCTAGCATGCGGTACAGTTCTTCTCCAATCTCGCCCAGCCTGCTCGCACCCTTCTTGCCCCCATCCAGGCCGTAGAACTCCTGGAACGACATGATGAGCGGCCGCCACTTGTCAGGGTCAACCCGGTTCTCGTACCCCTTCATGCGGAGGCCATCCAAGACGTGAACACGCACTACGCGCAACTCGATCGTGAGAATGACACCCGCCATTTCCGGCAGGTCCTTCCACATCTCATGCGCCATGGCGAGCTCGCACTCCATCTGCACGGGGCACTCCCTCGCGCGCGGCGGGCGGATAACCTGGGACGCCTGGGGAGTCAGCCCCGAGGCGGCCCACTTGTCGTGGACGTAAGAGTACCCGCGGCTGATCTTGCCGGGGGGCAACACCTCCGTGCCCGTCGTCTTGGCGAGCCCGTTGACCGCGCCGGTCCGGGTGTCGTCCGGGAGGTTGACGACGCACTGCCCGGTGCGCAGGATGTTCTGCGGCGTCTTGCTCTCGGCGGCCAGGCCGAGGATGCAGCGGTGGCCGAGCCAGAAGACGGAGGTGGTGGGCGCGAGGTTGAAGGTGCCGTCCTCGTTCTCGGAGGAGACGATGGCGACGGGGGTGCCCCAGTAGAGGATGGCGGGGTTGATGGTTGAGTGCATGGTGATTGTATTGTTGAGAAGTTGGAAAAAGATGGCGTGAATTGATGGTGTTCTTGGGAAGTTAGAAAATATAATTGATTGTGTTCTTGAGGCTTGGAAACAATGATGTTTTTGATTATTATTGAATATTTGGGTGCGAACACTGGAATTTTTATAGCATTGTCGACTCCTTTTTCCGCGGAGGCTCTCCAGTTGCGTTTGATATGAAGGCTCTCGTGATCCACATTCGTTGCTTCTGACATGAGTGGGATGGTGTTGTCGCACCACCGCTCGTTCTACATGGCGCTTTCGACAAAACTGGCTTGGCCGGTGATAAAAAAGGGTCGGATCATTTGCCTAGCGAAAAATCATGTATCTCAGTCGTCGTATTGCGTATATCATGACCGTGCTGGGAGCATGGCTCGACATTACTGGCTTACAGTTGAGCCGCGTTTTCCGACAATGCTGGATAAGCAGGTTTGACTCATCCCACTTGTGGAAACTGGATAGATAACAAGGGCGCATTGAAAAAGATACTGTTAATTTTTTTTAAACATGGATGGAATTGGCAATTGCAAGCTATCGTCGGGGCATATTGTCGAGTCTACTGTGTGTGCATGTACTCGGCCACTTGTCACGGGTTTCATCACCATCACACGGAGGGACATGCTCTATCACACCTCCTACATCCAAAAGAATTCGCCATGGCCGATCGATCAGCTGCTAGCTACTTTAGGGAATTCATGCCCATCACGAGAATCGGTTGTTTATCTAGGCGCGTCCCATTACCTCAAGGACGCAAACCTTTTCTTCCCCTCACCTGGACCCAACAAACCTTGCCGTGTGCACAAAACTTTCTTTGAGCTGGCATCGTACTTATTCCATTTCTATTCTTCTCAAGCTGGGCTTAAACAATTCATCTACATATCTTTCAATCAAACCACCAATTTGCCACGTCGTATCGCTTCAACACTCCATATATATATTTCTAATGGGTCTCTCTCCAAAACACCAGTTCCTCGCGACCGCGGTGTTCTTCGCCATCATGAGCGGAGTCGTGGGAGCCCCGATCCCCCCAATGAAAGTGCTACTCTTATTCCCCGCGCTCGGCGTCGTTGCGCAACAGCTCATCGAGGCATGGGAGCCCTTCACGAGATTCGCACACACAACCAAGCGGACCATACTGAGCACGCGATCGGGTCCCCAGAGACCCGAGGCCGATGGAAAACCCGAGAGACTGTCCAGCTCCTGGAGCCAGACTGAGCAGCCGCCGCCTTTGAACAACTTGCAGCCCAGCATGATACACACAGCGCCTTCCCGCGCCAGTCTGTGATCTGACCCCTGACTCTCACACTGAAGAGGGGTAGACGGACATGATGTTATGAGTAATAAGGTGGAGGGAAAAGAAGAGAACATGGAATTGATTTGGAATTGCAGAAAAGGGCCATCTACTCAACATTGAGTCGCAATTTTGTCTTTGATATCGTTGGGTTCTAATATGCTTGGCAGCAAATCTAACACGATATCCACTCAGTTTGAAGTCTCGCTTTCTGTTCCTAAGTGTAGGCTTCGTATTCTTTGGCTTTCATCTTTCAATAAAATTGTAATTCAATGTCTATAATCTAAGAGCTATGATAGATAGCTCATTGGGGTCCAGGTGTACACGTCGTGAGGCTGCACGCAAGATCATGATTCTAGCTCTTTTACCTATTTTAGACATTTGTTGATAATGGATTGTCGATTAGGTTATGGCCTCGATATTTAGAGTTTGGCATTTTTGGTTAGTTGGGAAAAAAGCTCCAAAGTTTAGATGAAGTTGAAATAAGGGATTTCATAGGGCTACCATACACCTATCAAAGGCTAAAGCCATATAGGTCTTCTGGTGTCTGGCAAGATTCCCATCCCCTTCAGTCGCCAGGCCAAGACCTAGATCCCATCATAGATGAACAATGAAATAACATATCTTGCAAGTTCTATAGCGCTGACATTTTTCAAGATTCCTAGAATCGGGGCATCTGAGCAGACACTTCTGTCCTCGATAGAGTTTGTGGTAGATAGTCGTGGGTGAGGTAACTTTCTGATTGCATCTGAGAAGGTCTGGGCGCGAACCTTGCATTATATACTAAGCTTTCAGGATGATCCTTGAAAGTTTCTCTACTCAACTTTGTCAAGTTGGCTCTATCACGTATGTCCCCAGAACACAATGCTCCCTTACAATTTTTTTAATTTGACATCGAAAATTTTACTGTGTAAAAAGAGTTGAATGTCAGTGCTTGATTCGCCCTGTCAGCGCTCATGGGCTTTTACCTCACCTTCGTCCGGTGCATTAGATGCATGAACTTGTTGTTCATGTTTCAAGATGTATGAGGCAAGTCATCCAATGATACAGTGTTTAATTTCTCGTTGGATACCGGGAAGATTTTGTCAAAGCTGCGCTTCTTGTTCGACTTTCGCGATTAAGAAGTCCGCGCGGCTGGGTCGACTTGCCGCCACACACAAGCGCAGAATTTGTGAGGGTTCTCATCCAATCTTTTTCCCACGTTGAATAGGAGGTAATCTTTTTCCCACGTTGAATAGGAGGATAAAGAATTACCAGGAATAAGAATGCTAGTCCTGAATGAGTTGAGATAGATTGGATCGGAGTCGGGGGGAGGATGGGACAACAATTTGGGGGACAGTTGCTGAGCTAGTTGTGACTGGCTGCTAGCTGCAACATGATCTGCACACTCGGTCCATAGGACCGAAAAGTGAGACTTATACTCAGCTAAAACTGTCATGCAGTCTTCTTCAGGGAGGCCCCAGCGTCTGACTAATTTGTCGACAAGAGAGTCGAGATCATCCAGGTGGCGCATACTGAGGATGTCGCAGTTTATAGATACATCGCCACCACATGTTTTGCGGACCTTGAATGTGAATTTCGTATCAATGACACGGATATTCCTGTAGCAACTGATATCTTCCTCCGGCAGTTTTCGTTTCGGTCTCTTTGCGGTTGGTGGTCGTTCCACTGCCGTAATGATTAGGGCATTGGTCATTGAAACAGTATCCTTTTCTACTTCAATCTCCTGGGTATCCTTGATGCGGCGGAAGATTAATCTGCAAGCATTACTAAACATAAGTTAGGATGGGTTTGTATCATCAAATAACGTGAAGTAGAAGGAATCGCTTTGGTGGAAGTGGTTCATACCATTCGACTTGATCTGTTGTATGGCCTTCATTCTCAAAACCACACGAAGGACATTTGGTTGTTGGTAAACTATATCGGCGGAAGTCCATACTCATCTTGAGCGACTGACCGCGTTTGATGATAGACTGCCAAGGCTGTGAAAGGTCGAGAATCTCCCCAGTACTCGTATCCTCGAGGGACCACTCGCCCCGATTAATTTTTGTTACCCCAAGATCTTTGAATCTGTTTCGAAGAATTTCGACGAAGATCTAGCACATTGTCAATGTGTGTAGCTGTCAAGGAGGCAATTATAACTTACATCCTTGCAGTTGACTGTCTCTATGTGGAACGGGAGATATCCGCCACGGGCATCAATAACTACCACCGAGTGGAACTTGACATCAGCGGGAATTCGGCATTGCAAGTCGTATACAATGGACTTCAATTGGTCGATCGAGGAAAAGCGTGGAGCGCATGCTTGCCGACGAAAGAGTTCCAGGAGGGCAGGCTCCAGTTGGCGAGAAACGAGACTGATTTCACTGCCTACTGTTCCTAACGTCTCGAGAAGCGCCTTGGTAGCAGAAGCAGCGGTTGCTGCAGCAAAATCTTGCCACCGCTTGCGCTTGTGGCTGTCCGCGTAGTCGCAAACACCCTTGATTATAATACATGGTATCTCATCCCACACACCGGCGCCCTCCATCTCGAAGGCTAACACGTTATCATCTTTGGCGATCCGATCGCGGTCTTCGCCAGATTTCATTACTGTGTCGCCCGAGGCTACGACGCCGATGTGGATGGCTGGTTCTTGGGCTCTGCAGGGATCCTCCTCTTCGAAAGTTTGCTTTTCTTTAATAGCTTCTCTATCCAACAAATGGCTATCTTCACAGCCAGCCTCGTCACACGACAGGTCTAGAGCTTTACTGCACGTGAACTCTGCGGTGCAGCACGTCGAGAACCTGTGCCTATGCCGGTAGGTAGGCTCGAAGAGCTCATCCATGCCAGCGCCGGGGTATATGTATCTCCCTCGATTTCGTTTCGATTTCTTCAAGTAGGTTTCTTGTAGTTCTCGGAGATAGTGCGCAGTGCGGCGTTCGAGCTTGTCTCGGCTGCGATGAGTCTCGAAACTCCGCAGCAGGGAGCGGATGTTCTTGTTCGGTCTTCCAAGATTATCTTGCAGGCTGCTCTTGCGCAGGAAGACGCCTCCTGGATACTGTCTTCCAAGATCATACTGCACCAAGGAATTGGATATGACCACATCGCCGAGTAGAACCTCGTCACCATCCTTGTTCGGCCCAGGCACACCGCCGCAGATCCCCACGACGAGGGCCAGCCGTACATTGCAGTAACTCGACTTCAAGTAGGCGGCGGCACTGGCAGCACATGCCTTGCCCATACCTGGGAGCAGAAGAAGAACCACATTGTGTCGATCGATCCGCCCTGTGGTGTAATGGTTCGGATCGCCATCGATTCTCTGGTACGGGTGTGCGCCGTTGTCGAGGTCATCGAAGAACTCGTCGAAAAGGTACGAAACCGCAGTGGACTCGAGGGGCAAAGCGCAGAAGATGGCTATCTCGAAGCTTTCGCGGCTCGGTGGTCGGCTGATATTGTCCTCCGATTTCGATCTGTCGAGGGGCATCGTCGCCATATGGCCAAGAATGCTGGCCCGAGAGCCTTGTGAGTAATAAGAATCAATGGTGGCGATGGAACTGGTGGTGGCGCTTCGGTCGGCCACAAACGTACACTCGCGAAGGGATGCACTTGGAAGCAATGACTCAAGAAACACATCTGGAAAAAGGATAAGCAAAGGCGGCGGTACAGCCTCCAGCAATGGCAGCGGGGTTGTAGAATCTTGTCACGTGCTGAGGCGAAGCAATTATCTGCACTTTCCCTCTCAGATCTCCTGTAAGAAACCTCACGCCGCCATAGCTCGTTACTCGCTTGGAGTTCTATCATAGAGGATTTGCGGTGGGGCTAAACGCTGCTAGTAACGTCTTAATATAAGAGCTTAATGGAAATTAGCCCCCGTCGCCTGGAAATCATGGACTAGGTACAGGTACATGGGTAAAAGCACGGGAGCCAAGCGACTGACATAAAAAAATATGCCACATGTAGACAGTTCAGCGTTGAAGTTCAACACAATATTAGAATAATTGACCCATTAATAAATAACTTATCAAGCTAAATATGGTAGAATAATTTAATACTCTCTTATTATTATGTATAATTAGAAACGAGGTCCCTGCCGTACGCGAAAAGAGCGTTTTGGTGTGCCATGTTTTATTCCAACCGCTCGAGTCGCTACCGGGTACCCGTCCGCCCGGATCTGGGCTAGAAGATCAACCCAAGCCTATTCTAGGCCAAACCACCCAGCCGGAAGGTTGAAATTCCCAGTCAGACAAATAATGTTTGGATCTCATTGAAAGAGGGAATTACCCAAATATCTTCGAAAATAAGGTTAGGTAATGACAGAGTTCAGTGATAAGCTAACATCTTGAGCTTGAGAGAGAAAGACGGAGTGGAACCTGTGGCTTACATGTGGTGAACTAGGGTTATGATATAATCAGACGTGGCTGATGCGCGGTTGTCAGGCTAATGGTTTAAATGGCACTGAGACGGGACGTCAATTTAGCACATCAACATAGTCATATCAACATCAGAATCGTCATCAATATCTTGATACTGGGTATGTTGTCAAGTTGTTGGATTCTTGGCATTTGGGAGTCCCCCCGCTTTTTTTTTTTTTCAGCAGCTGCCGCATAGCTGTATAACTCTCTCACTTACCATCACCAAGATCAACATGGCCAGCTCTACGGTAACGCCATCAAGACGCAGCGCATGCTGGAATGTCGTTTTACTTGCTGGAAAGAGCCAGTCATTTCGTTGGCGTCTTTAGCCCGCCAGTTGTTCATTATTGACATTTCAAGATGTTGTTCGCGAAATGAGCCTATGTTTTGACTTCGAAGGTAAGAGTGCTGGAGACGACTTCTGGGAAAATATTGCCTTCGAAAGTCTCGATCGAGACTCTTGCCACGACTCGTTTCCGTCGTTAATCCGGGATCTGAGTATATCTGTTCCAAGTCTTGATTCGCCTAATCTCAAACGCCCAAAAGTCTTGAGGTTTCGCATCTTCCGCCACACACCTTGTTAATTGCCCAACGATTCACCATTGCATGCCCATCTTCAAGGTCAGTGCGACATGTCACTCATACCCGCTTATTGTATTTGCTGACCTTGCCTCAGCTAATTGCGCCCAACATCTTCCCCAGCCTGTCCGGCGTCGCAATCTGCGATACCTTCTACCCAAGACGGCCTCATCAGACTCGCGTCATGCCGTCATGCCATATCGGTCAACACTCAAAGGGCGCCGAGGAGGATCTGTATCGCCAAAAAGACCTCGATCTGGTTCAGCGTCACCTAGTAAAGATGCTTTAGTCGACCCGGATGATGTGGACGCTAGCGAAATGGTGATGCCAGCGAATATGGACCTCGACCTAGCTAATGCAAGAAAATACTCCAACAATTTCCAAACATCATATTTTGACAACGCAAAAGCATGTGCTGT